AATTTTCATGAAAAACGCTCCCGACCGCAAAAATTTGCGTCGCTCATTTGCATCGCAATTTGAAAAGTTTGTGCCGAGCTTTATTTCGCCGTAAAGGCTACGCCGTTTTTCATTTTTTCGCCCCAGATGGGTAAAATCGCCGGGGAGTAAATATTTTGTCGTCTAAGGTGTCCGGCTTTCAAAAATAACGGGTATTTACGGTTAGTTATTCGGGATTTTCGATGATAGACGGTGATTTATAATAATTCATAAATTTATTAATGATTTACGATGATCTATTGAAGACCTATCCAAACATGTCGACCGACAATATATCTTTTGATGTATGGTATTCGGCCTTCAAGGCTAGCGACTATTTATGGTTATTTATTATGGATTTTCGATGATTTATTAAAGACATAACCAAACATGTTGACCGAACTTGTTTGTTGTGATGTATGGTATTTAGTTTTTAATGAAACCGGGTTATTTATCGCGGATTTCCGACGATTGACGGTGATTTGTAATGAGTTATTAATAATTTACGATGATTTATTGAAGACATAACCGAACATGGTATTCGGCCTTCAAGAGTAGCGGGTGTTTATGGTTATTTATTGGGGATTTTCGACAATTTACGGTGATTTGTAATTATTTAAGATGATTTATTGAAAACATAACTAAACATGTTTATCAAAAATGTATCTTTTGATGTTTGGTGTCCGGCATTGAAGAATAACGGATAGTTATTGAGTATTTCTGGCAATTAACGATTTGTAAAGAGTTATTATGTTCTGCTTCTTAATGGGAGGGAAATGTTGATCGTTATTAAGCTGTTAAACTTATTCGTTGTAAAAGTATTCCCTGTTGTGATTGTCAAGAGTACCGAGAGTGACAGGTTGTAGTTGACCTACGTGTGGCCTTGTGTTTAAAGTTACAATTATTGTTACATTCCGTCAGTTGTTGGCAAAGTTGAAAATGGTGTTAATATTTATTCTTTCTTGCTGAGAAACGGATTAGTAATTAGTATTATTTTTAATGTATTCGTAGGCTCTTCGCCAATAAAACTCAACATAGCAAAAATAGTTGAAATGTGTTCCAATATGACTGATGTAGAAACTATAATAAATGAGGATAACAAGAATGTCACAAAGTTGGACAAAATAAATTGTGGAAAACTTTAAGGGAAATGAATTTTTGTTTACGAAAACAGTACCATTTCTCAAAGCAACAATTCAATTGGTAAAGACCCTGGCGAAGGCGATATTTGAGAGCCCTTTGACAGTTTTGTAGGACATAAAGAAATATCTATTATCTGGACGAGACTTAGGTATATGAAGGATATATCCGTTGGTAAAACATGCACTTCAATCGGAAAGGACTGGAGACATGAAATGCTGATGTTTTTGTTATAATCATGGGAAAAAATCACATCAGTCATATTATTGTATTGTATGCAAGTTGGTATTGCCCCAATTTAAGGAACTAAATGACCTATCATTCTGTTATAGTCATGGAAAAAAATAACATCATTCATAGACTCACTTTAATTATACACTTTTATTGTATTTATTACTCTCTCGCATTAAGGAATTTGTTGAGGACACAACCAAAGAAGTTTCTTTACATGAAAAATAACCGGTATTTGCGATTTGCAAGTAATTTATTGCTTGGTAATCGAAAATGCCCCCCTCCGAACGCTCTTCTAAAAAAAAAAAAAAATAGACGGCACGTTCCGTTTATTTTCCTATTTGGATTCGAAAATCGATGTAAACAGCGATTTCCGTAAAATATAATGTTTACACCGAGACAGGCTGTCGCTGGGACATTCGAACCTGTTAAGTGATACGACGACGGGCCGCCGGGTTCAGTGGGTGGGGGGGGGGACACTAATGACTAGAAAATAAATACCCGGAGGACCACCCACCGATTCGCATTGTCGACGCAATAAAAATTTTGAGTTATCGCAGCTTGGTGGGATCGCGCGCGTATTCCTACGCATTGTGCGTCGCATGGCGAAAAAAGGGATTCCCTTCGCGCGGGAAACTATAAAGAGAGAGAGAGAGGAACGAGTGATAAGGATCGCGCGATAGTAAGATAGGACGGAACGCTTTTTAAAAATTCAAAACGGTCGGCCGGTGGAAATTTGAATAATTCTTTCGTAAAACGTCCGTTTATCTCGACGTTTTACGCGATGCCCCGAAAACTTTTACGACGAATTTTAATATCCTACGTTCGAAGTGGGAAACGCCTCCGGGGTCCCCGGCTTTCGGTTTGGTCCATTGTTCTCTGGGTTTAACACGGCGAAGTACACGTCTCAGCTATTATCGTAATGAGAACATTTTAATAAATTAAATTGTATTTGTCATATATTTGCGAGTAAAAAACTTCATCAAATGTAAACATGTAAATTAAATAAATGAGAGCGAAAAAGATGTCCTAGAAAATAAACGACTACAAAAATAACTGAACAAATTGAAAGCACTAAGCTGATGTTGTTAAAAGTTTTGCTAATGGCGAATACCGGTATCTACTGATCTACTAATTCACTTAATTTAATATAACATGTGTTTCAAAGACCTAGTTAACTGGAATAAGGGTTCAGTGGGTTTATGTCATGGTTCAGTTTCAGAATAAAACAATTACTCTGAACTTCTTCCGTGTATTTGTTGTTTAAAGAGTTAATATGTTCAAAAAGTAAGGTGATTTTTAAGTTTTATCAGAACGTATTTATCTATTCATCAAAACTAAAGTTCAAAGATATAATAGGCTTGTGTCAACGTTTATTCCAATCCTGAGAGCACTTCTAGTAAGCACTTTCTGATATAGTCCTGAGTTCGTCCAGCGATTTTCTTCCTTTCATGGGTTTCTTGAGTTTTGGGATCAGAAAAAAGTCGCAGGGGGCCATATCCGGTGAATATGGTGGCTGAGGCATAATTGTAGTTTTGTTTTTCCGAGCCACTTCGGGATTTTGCCGCACGGGTTCGGGAGCAATCGGTTGTTTTCAGACATTTTACCCCACCCAAAAACTAATACACAGACAATTTAGATACTGCGCGCTATAAGCTACAATTAAAATCTAGTTGACCAGTCGGTAAATAAAGTGACATTTATAATTTAAGTTTCCAACTGAAGTTATACATGAATTTTACTGATTTTTACAGTTTTATATTAATATCTTGCCAAGACCAATTGTACCATTTTCAAATATCCACGTGTTATCAGTACAAACAAAACAAAATTGAAGATTAGGACCTGCTTTTTCTTGTTTATACGGTTTTAAAAACTTAATCCTTTTAAAAGCTCTATCCTTGGATGATTTTTATTCCGATTACCGCCTTTTTCTTTAAACAAACTACTTAATGATCGAGTGTAACAGTTAGATAAACAACATAACGTGTTAAAATTGTGTGAAACTCCACTTTCCTAATCGATTACGATCAAAACCCGATAAAAAAATCGGTCCACTGATCTATAGAACTTTTATTGGTATATAGAAAACATCTCGATATATCTGCGACAAAATGTCAGCTGGTGTTTGTTCCGTGACATGTTTTCCCGATATATTACTCCCACCCCCCCACCCGCCCCCTAACACGGCTGTTTGTTTTTCTAATGGCCGCGGGGACATGGCGGCAAATACTTCTTGATGCTCAACCCATACAAAAATACAAGAATAAATATAAATGTGTCTTAATTTAATAGGTTGGAACCTTTCATATTATACTGTTGATGTTGGTTGATTATCCAATTCGTTAATGGCGGAATTGGATAATCGACGTCGTTTGTTAAAAAATATATAAATCTAGTAATAATTTGTTATTAAATAAGTTTCATAGTTTCGAACTAAAATAAATATTCAAAAATCAACAAATTTATTAATAACACTATTATTTACTGATTATTTTTAATAATAATAAGACGATTTCCCAAAGGTTGGGATTAAAGTTTAGTTTTTTAATTCTAATTTCATTATTGAATATGTTTGGATTGAATTCAGACCAATTCTTGACCAAAGTAAAAGTACTACGCAAATCAGTCCAAAAATAAAATATAAAAACAGACATTTGTTATAAAATGTTAATAATTGCAGTGGCTAAAATAGTAAGTATATTTTGCAATGCCAAAAACACCTAAGTCGATTTACTCCCAAAATATCTTATTTTACTTTCTTTAAATTTATAAAGAATTCAATTATTGTAGCAGGAAATACCCTCTACATTTTGCTTCGGGACCTTGAATACGAGGTGCGTTCAAAAAGTAAAGTGACTTTTGTAATTGTCAAAAATTAAACTTTTTTTTGTTATGTTGGTCCCTAACGTATGTTAGCAAAAATGGTGTGGAACCATTGAGGAGATAAAGAGTAAATAAATACTTTTTGATAAAACTTAAAAGTCGCCTTACTTTTTGAACACGCCTCGTAAGATACTGACACCGACTGAGAATTTGAGAGTGACGGGGAGTTCTAAGGACCCGGCTGTATGATTTAAAGTAGTTAAACTTTTTTTCCTTTGACGTAAATGTACAGGGTGTTGGATTTCTTTACCTGATTACAAATTACAAATTGGTTTTGGTTATTTCGCATTTATCTTAGTATATTTTTTAATAGACAGTTACAAAAAAATTATTTGAGAATTCTTTAAACAGTGCATAGAGCACCGGTCCCAAGAATACAAATAATAAATTCATAAAAAGAATAAATAGAACAAAAAAGGTAAGTACACAACCTATTGCTTATCTTATTACTTAACAAAACTATATTCCGCGAAGTAATGTAAAACCCTGCCGATTTTTGAATAATTAAAATACGATCCCGAACCAAGCAAACCTTTCTTTGCTTCCCCCACTCCCGGGGCGTTGCGTTCCCGCGTTTTATTTAAAGACCTTAAATTAAACCTAAACCCCAAGCATTTTCAATGTGCGACCGCCCCGGGCCCTACACATATACGGGTCCTGCGGTTAAGGGACCCTTATTCAATATTCATCGACACGTTCTAACCGCCCTTTTTCCTATTTTCCAGACTGTCTACATCTGCAACTCTATCGGGACTCGAAGGACCGCTACAAGCAGGGCCAGACCAAAGCGTCGCTCTCCCTGGAGCATTTCCTCGGCCTCGAGACCGGGTTCACGTTAGACAAGGAGTCCCACACGGTGGCCATCTTGTGCCAGGACGTCGTGGTGGTGCTGGCGTTCGATAACCGCGAGCGCCTGATGCAGTGGCAGGTCAAATTGAGTTCGCATCTAAACGACGGACCGCATTTTTTGGTGCTCGTTTCGAGTTCGCCCCCCAAATCGAGGTGAGTCCCCATCCCAGCAAGCAGTTTCCATATGAATTATTAATTGTTTCTAAAGCCGGATTCTTTTCTTCGTGTGTTAACTCATGTTGTGTTAGTTGAGAGTGGCGTATTAAGGAGTCTTGTTTCACGGCGTCGTTCAATGTTCCGTTACAGGTTACCCCCCGGTCCCGCCCGCCTCCACGTGCAAGAACGGGGCTTCTGCTTGACGACGGGCGTGCCGCCCCGCGTTGCGGGCCAATGGCAGATCAGCGATTTGAGACGGTACGGCGTGGTGGAGGGCCGGTTCTGTTTCGAGGGCGGCTCGCGGTGCCTCAAAGGCGAAGGCCTATACGTCTTGATAGCCGACCAAGGCGAGGAGATTATGTCCACCCTCAAAGTGGCCGCTACCGGTAACCTGCATTCGTCCAGAAAGCGTCCGGTGTCCAGAAATATGTCCGTAATGGACAGTCCCGCCCGCAGACCACCATTACGGCCTTGCGGGGGCGGGGGGTTGGATTTAAGCGAAGCTTCGTTGATATCGCGCGCGGATTCTCCCTATACGGACCTGGAGAGTAACTACGGATGCGGCGACAGCATTTCCAACGACGGCTGGAACCAACATCCGATGGAACGATGTATGAGTTGTATCAGTAAGCTGGGCGCCATGTCCAGATCGTCTACGGCGACGGTGACGGTGGGCCCCACGTGTTGGGAGCACACGTGCGACAGACATTCGATCAGCAGCTCGAGCGATAGCTCGGGATGGAGCCAGGCCGTTACGAAGCCCCCGGCCAGACCCCCAAAGCCGGGGTCACCGGCGTCTGTCAAGAAACCGCCGCCCCCGCCGTCCTACGATAACTACGACGTCCCGAAAATACCCTATCCGGTGACGGTAATTATCTGATTTTTTATATTATATATAAATAATTAAAAGTGTCCCTTAAAAATAATGTTTAACTAAATAAATTGCAAGAAACAAAATGTTAAATTTAAATAAAAATATAACTTACGTCGATGAAAAATGTCTGCTATTTTTTGCAGGAATACTATTCTGCAATTTAAACTAAAAATGTTATCTGTCAAATTTCGACAGGTCGACATTTCGTTAAAATTGAATATTTTTCACAGATTTTGAAATATCGCGCATATTTTTCAAAAGTAAAATTATCCGTGAAAACCCAAAGTAGAGTTTGTTGTATGATTTTCTATTGTGTAATATTGGTTATTATTATGACATTTTCAATTAAATATATTTTCATTAATTAACACATTACTTACCTATTACTTATAACAAAAAAAAAAACAATATTACATACTTAAGTATTATGAAAAATACGATACGATTTCTAAGAAGTTCTGGTTGCGTGCCCATTTTGGGCTTCAACTGTTTCTCGTGTTCTATTTCCCTCTACCTCCAGGATAGGTTTTACAGATTAATAACGATTTATATATACACCTCTCTCGCATTAAGAAACAGCGCATAATTCATCAAAAACTACGATTATACGAGGGCGACCGATTGAGGTATTCAAGATAGAAAAAAAAACGATATTATATTTCAATCGTAGGAACCGAAACAGGACGAACATTACGACACTCCCAGGAAGCTCAGAGAGTGCGTGACCGGCTTCGAGACGGTGCAAAAGGCGTGCGGATGCATATTACGCGTGCGCCAACCGGAACCGGAACGTCCGTGCGTCTGTCAACGGCTCATGTCGTGCTGGACCGCCCCCGATGACGTTCACGCCGTTTACGCCACCGTCGATTACAGCAAGAAAACGTATAGAAACCTTCAGAACGCCGCCGCGGGCGTCGCCAACTACGCCAACTTGACGCCCGCGACGGCGACGACGACGCAGCAGCCCGCGTCCAATTACGAAAACTTCGAGTTCGCTCAAACGCTTCAGCTATACGAAAACGGCAGGGAAATCGGGGAGAGGGCGAGGGCGTTGCTGTGCGCGAAATGCGGCCACGCGCAGGACCAGGATTACCTGATGATGGAACCCGCGAAACAGCCCAACAACCAGCCGCATCCCGGGTAAGTTTTTTGAACAATTAAAGATCGCGAAATCGACGATAAAATGACGCAACAACGTAATATAACGGTTAAAACGACGTCGACGTTTATTTTATTTCCGAAAAGCTGCCCAAACAGGCCCGAACGGGTCAACTGTGTTCGTAATTTCTGCCCAGTTCTAAATCTAAAATCGGATGTAAACAAAAATAAAATTTAGTCATGTCTGATGCGAGATTGACGAAATAATAACTCAAAAACGACCAATCCTAACGAAACGTCCTAATATAACGTTAAAATGACGTCGGCGTTTATTTTATTTCCCAAAAGTTGCGCAAACACACACACTGTAGTGTTCTTTTAAAGGATAGCCCAAATTAACAAATACAATTCTTAATTCCACGCAAAGTATGTATGTAAATATCTTAAAAAAACAAAAGAAAAAGTTAAACGTTATCCTTTTAATTTGTTAAGTGTTGTATTTCAAAAGTATTTCATGTTTAAAAATTTCCTGTTTGTCTCAGACGAAATCGACAAAAGAATGACGTAAAAATTACCAGTCTTAAACGAAACGTCGCAATATAACGTTAAAATGACGTCGACGTTTATTTTATTTCCGAAAAGCTGCCCAAACAGGCCCGAACGGGTCAACTGTGTTCGTAATTTCTGCCCAGTTCTAAATCTAAAATCGGATGTAAACAAAAATAAAATTTAGTCATGTCTGATGCGAGATTGACGAAATAATAACTCAAAAACGACCAATCCTAACGAAACGTCCTAATATAACGTTAAAATGACGTCGGCGTTTATTTTATTTCCCAAAAGTTGCGCAAACAGACACACTGTAGTGTTCTTTTAAAGGATAGCCCAAATTAACAAATACGATTCTTAATTTCACGCAAGGTATGTATGTAAATATCTTAAAAAAACAAAAGAAAAAGTTAAACGTTATTATTTTAATTTGTTAAGTGTTGTATTTCAAAAGCATTTCATGTTTAAAAATTTCCTATTTGTCTCAGACGAAATCGACAAAAGAATGACGTAAAAATGACCAGTCTTAAACGAAACGTCGCAATATAACGTTAAAATGACGTCGACGTTTATTTTATTTCCTAAAAGCTGCCCAAACGGACACACTGTAATGTTCTTTTTAAGCATAGCCCAAATTAACAAATACAATTCTTAATTCCACGCAGAATAGATGCAAAAATGTCTTAAAAACCAAAAAAAAAGTTAAACGGTACTATTTTAATTTGTTAGTGTTGTATTTCAAAAATATTTCATGTTTAAAAATTTCCTATTTGTCTCATGCGAAATCGACGAAAGAATTACGCAAAAACGACCAATCGTAACGAAACGTCCTAATAAAACGTTAAAATGAACAAATAACTAAAATAAAAAATATAATAATAATAATGAAATATAAAATAACGTAATATAACGTTAAAATGGCGTTTTCCAAAAAGCTATCCAAACGGGCATACTGTAGTGTTCTTTTAAATGATAATAATAATAATAGTAATAAATAAATAAAAATAAATAAAAGAATAAAAAGAAAATAAATGAGTAAATAGCACTTGCCTATTTACAAAAGCAATTAAAATTTACACAAAACAAACTAAAACTTAAATAATGAACACCATCATAGAATACAGTTTTCTGTAAATTTTTTAGTTTTTACGATAGAAACATTGATGTGCTGATTGAAAATTTGACGTACTTTCCAGCCAAAATTTAAGATGGGGATTTTCGGTCAATTTTCGGTATATATAGTAGCAGGTAGTGTGTAAATATTACATTTGATAAAGACACGGTGTTGTCGGAGCAATTGTCATGTCAAAATATATAATTTCGTGAAAATCTGAACTTTTAGTTCTTATTTATTTTTTGTAAGCTGAATTTCAGCCACACCTTGTAACGACCAAGTTCCATCTAATGTATGATCGTATTGCCAAAACAGATTGGACCTTCCTGGAATCTTTTGACAAAGCCAATGACACCTGCACGTACTTTTACGGTAAACTTGACAACATCTTCGATGAATATGTGCATTATGAAGGATAATAAGCGTGGTTCATGTAGGATATAATCAAGCGAATCCGCTTAAAATTTAAATATTTAAAATTGTTTAGGACTAAGAACGATATTGGTGCTCTCAATGAATTCAAGCTATTAAGGGCCAAAATTAAATCAGATCTTAATAATTCTTATCAATTGTACGCACTCTCTGCTGAGTGTGAGATCAAAACTGTCCTTTTGCTTTATCCTGTGGAACAGTGTATCTAAATAAATAAATAAATTAATATCGATTTATGTTTTATCAAACTTCTAATATTGAATCTAACCTATCGCATAGCAACCAGCAAATTAGGCACACGTGTTTAATAACTTTAATAACAACAGGGCGCTTTTGCAAAACCTAGATTTGTCGGTCTGGATATCGTGAGCTGCTGAGCTGATTATTTTTTTATATTTTAACTTCTCAATCGAAACGTTCTCCCAAAGACTGACGTTTATTTCAGCTACATCCCGATGTCGCCGGCGGTAAAACAACGTCTGGGCAAAGTGTTGTCCAACAGTAACCCGAATCTGGGCCCCGCCCTCGATCGCTCGACCAAACCTTCCGGTTCCGCCATGCTGCACACCAACATCTATCAGCGCAAACAGCTGATGGACTCGACCGATAATCTGGACAACGTCAGACGGAAAAGGTCAAACAGCGCCGATTCCAGCACGAGCCGCGTCGAACCGGAACCGGAACCGGAAATCGCGTCTCCGTGCAGATGCGCGCAAACCCAACTCGGTAAGCACACTGCGACGGTTTGTAAAAATGGGGTTAGGTTTTTTTTTAAATACCGATAGAAGCCGTGACGTCACTTGTTAGGTAGCATCCAGAAGGTGACCGCTTTTCATAGTACAATAATAAGAATAATAATAATAATAATAATAATAATAATAATAATAATAATAATAATAAATTAAAATTCACGTCCAACGAAGATGAATATAAATATTTTATATTCGAAAAAAAAGAGGAAATAGAAATGACAGACACTGGAAAAAGCAAAATTAACTAAAAAAAATATTAAAGAATTTAAATAAATTCGGCGGTTCGGCGACAACTTAATCTCACCAACTCTTTTAATTTTAAATCCTGAGCTCTGAAAGGCAGCCGTACTATGCCTGGGAACATTGAACTTGTTACGGTGACAAGTATAGAGTATAGAGATATCGAGGCTTTTCGTGTATAGCAATTTTATTTATACACTAACGTAGATATATGTGCAAAATACCTTTCAGATAGATTTAACCACTAAGAATCATTGAGTGCCGACGGAATACGAGCCCTAACAACTAATTGTTCGGACGATGTACGAAATAATAAGAAAACATATTTATACTTATATATATTATATAAGTATATATTTTATATATAAATGTAAATATATATTTATATTTATACTTGTGATTTTAGCCATTAATGCTGGAACTGAACGCTGAGGATTGTTACGCAAAGTCTTTTTCATCCGATGCCATAAGGTTTCAATAATGTTCAAGTCTACTTGATGGCCGCGATAAAACTTTCATATTACGGTCCCCAAACCACTTTTTTGTTGTTTTCGCAGACCGTCTTGTTGAAATATAAAATTTTCATTTCCAAAAGTTGGTTCTATTGATGGAATCCAACTTCTTGATAAAATTCGTTGGTATTTTTCGGCATTTACAGTACAGTAGTTGCCAACCCCGTTACCACTCATACGCCCCCATATCATAACACCCTGAGGAAATTTTACCGTGCGCTTTAGACAATCTTTGTGAAAGGGGTCTGATTTTGTACGAATCACCCTTTTCCGAAAATCGCCTACACACACATCAAATTCGTCGCTGAAGATAACGTTACTCCACGTTTCCGTTGTCCAGGATATTTTAGATTCTGAATAGACGTTAATAATGGTTTTTCCTTTGCCTTAAACAAAGTAGATCTTAGAATATTAATAATTTTTGTATTGAAACAGGAAAAATTGTAAACTTAAGTTATAAAAACTCATACCAGACTTATGCATCTATTGTCTACAACATTCCCTCAAGACATTTAAGTTTGCCTCGTGATTCCATCGAGCTTGAATTTGTCGCTAGTTTTAGAATTCTTGACCAGAATACGACCATCTCTTTCAATGATTTTGCGGCCTGAACTTTTACGCCAACACTAGTTGTCTCTCCATACTTTTTTATAATATCCCCGACTGTTGATGTTGCAATACCCAAGCCATTTGAATTTTTTTGCATTGATTTACCTCTGCAGTACTGAAGTATGATAATTTCTCGCACTTTTTTGTTTGTTGCAACACCACGCGTCATTTTCTTATCAACTATTATACAAACTTGAAAGATACAACCCGAACTGACATCTCACTTATCTAAGCACACTACATTTTACCATCAATGCATGGGTAGCATTGATTTCTTGGTCAATAAACATTCGCGTCCGAATATTTATTTGCTTTTTATAGCGTCCTACGCCTTCCGGTTCTCAGTTTTCATTCCTTTCGATCTTCCCAGTTTCCTGGTTGTCAGTTCCTTTCTGACATGGCTCGTGATCTTAGGTCTACCCCGTTTTCCTTCTTTCTGTGGGTGTCCATTTTAGAATTTGCTTTGGTAATCTCTCTTCGCCCATTCTCTCTACGTTGGCCCAGTTCTTCAAGGATGGTCATCTATACGTCCACGATTGCCCTTATTCGTTGGTTGTTTACCCGATCCGTCCTTGATTTACCAGCCGCTCTGCGCCCGACTAGTTGCCATGTTTCGCATCCATAAAGGACTATGCTTTTAAATATAGTATCGTATATAATTTTTTTCCTTTGTGTCGACTAGAGAAAAGAGCTGACACCTCTTATAACCCTTTGCCCCTTCACTATTCGGTCTTCTATTTCCTTTCTTGTTCGTCCACTCTTATCCATCGTAGTTCCCAGGTAGTTGCATTCCTTACATGCCGCCACCGTAACACACATTTATTTTGTTTTATTACAGTTTACTGTCAGCCACAATCTTGTATATCCATCAAATAACCTCCTTGTCACAAATTCTAAGTCTTGGTGTTATTTGTTAATTCAATTCCCATTCTGAAGGCTTCATTCCAATAAATCTTGAACAGTGTCGGAGAGACACAGCATCCTTGTCGAAGGTCTTTTGAGTCTTGAAAATTTTCCGACATGTTCTTTCCTATCTTAAATCGAGATGTGGCTTGTCTATAGAGCTACTTAATTCCTATTATAGCTACATTATGGACCGTTGATTTTTCTAGCGCCTGCCATAGTTTTTGGATGCGCACTGTTAGATCGACAAACAAGAGGTAAACGTCTCTGTTTTCATAGGAGTTCTGAAGTAAATAAGACAAGTGAGAATCAAAAAGTCGCTTACTCTTGGAATCATTTATTAACAGACCATGGGCTTTGGATATTCTAGATATCACTTTTATGTCATTGAAAGACAAAGCTACGTTTCAGTATTTGCACGTCATCAGCATACTGATAAGAATAGCATTTAGAGAAGTCAGACGTGAAAATCGAGAACAATAAAGGTCCTAAATGATGCATTCCCCTCAAAACGGGTGGAAAGTCAGACAGACAACACTAATTCTAACGTATTAATCCAACAAAATCCTACAAGGTCTGTGTGATGGTCGTACTGTGTCAGATTAGGAGGCAGGCATAATATTTGAGACATTACATGGAGTTTGCTAATGGAACGAAATTCTGTAAGGTATTATTTTAGCTGCTCTCTTTCGACAACAATAAAATTCAGGTGAGGAGTAAATAAAGTATTTTTAAATCGATGCCGTCCACACCTTTTGCGTTTAACTTCATTCCGGATATACCATCCACATGCTCCTCTGTTATGCCGACTAGAATCCAAATACAACCCCGAAATAATAATAATAAAAATAATAAATAACAAGAATATACTACAATAGAGTTGAACAGGTGGCGAGGTCTAGCAGCGCTACCCCCGCTATTTTTGCATTAGATTTTTAAAATTCGAACCTTCCATTCTCTCGGAAAATTGTGAATTAGGTTCTCACCCGGTACATTTACCAAATATTTTGAAACCCGACAAGTGACGTCACGTGTATGCGCCTTTCGACGACCAACGACGCGTGTTTTCCGATCGCAGTGCGCAGATCGTCGAGCGTGCCGTGCAAAAGCAACAGGGATTCGTCGAGCTCGAACGATTCGGGCGTGTTCGAGCTGCCGCGCAGGGCGCAGATCTGCGCGAACGTCACGCTACCGCGCAGGTCCAAAAGTTCCGACCCGCTGCGCGATCTTAGCTTTCAGTTCAACAAGGCCACGGCGGACGTCAAATCGGCGAGCGCGGAAGCGGAAGTTCCGGTCTGCCCGAACGGCAGCACCAGCAGCGGCACGTCCGACATGTCCGATTACTTCGAAACGCTGTCGCTGTCGTCGAGTTCGAGCGACGCGGCGGCGGGCGTCGCGCCGCCGCCCAGCTGCACGCTCCGCCCCCGTTCCGGCAACGAGTACCTCAGCCTGCAGCGGCTGATCGCGCCAGTGCCGGAAGAACGGCACTAAAACACCGATCGCCCTGTATATACGCGCGAAAAACTGTCCATAGGTTTATACATATACATAGCGTCGTTCAAAAACGAATTAATTAGAGGTATACATAGCGTCTGGATACTTATATAGGGTCGTAGTAGGGCCAAAGCAGTATACACACACTTATCGGTATATATATACATATTATGTCTATATGATTGCGTAATCGTCACCCCCCAAACCCCCATCTCCCCCCCTGTATAAAGGTATACTGTATTTACTTTGCAAAAATAAATTATTCGATATAACGTTCCACGTTTTATTTGACGAAGCGCCCTATAACCCGCAACCCAATAATCGCCTACAAACACAAATTTTACCTGCGTTAACCGCACAAAAAGAGAAAAAAATGGAACGAAGTTCCTTGTATAAACCAAAACTTCCCGACTAACAAGAAAAACTTTGCGAGCTTTGACAATATACAAATACATATCAAAAATATATATTAATTTTTTAATACCTTGTGTAATGTGATGCTTTTTAGTTGTTCAACGAAGTGAAAGGAATTAATTACGAGACTGTCAGTTTTCCCTGTAAGTGGGATCTTTTTCTAAGTTGACACTTGGCACTGTTCTTCCTTACATTCAAAACATCACTGACCACATATCAAAAGTTCCAAAGAAATATAACCAGATTTATCATTTGTCCAAAAATCTCTCAACATTTTCGATCTGCCAAAGCCAAAAATCCACTCTACTCTAAATGCACGATAAAACCAATGAAAAATCGGAGAGTAAATCTATTTGCAACCTAACATCTAACAACTTACCTCAAAAAGTTCTTTGTTTGCACTGGTCGGTGAGGGCTAGTAGCATTGATGTCGAGAGTGATTCGTCTTCAGCGCTTGGATTTTCTAATTTCTTCGAAGACTTCCGGCAAACAAATTATAATGGTAAGTGATTGAATTTCATCGTCTCATATATCGCCATTTTTGCGAACATCCTCGCAAGTAAGTTCGAATTTTTCACGCTAGCGTCCGAAATCATGCAAACTCACACCACCGATCACAAACTTTTATTCCGCAACTACGCAGTGTTAAATCGACGCGTGCGCTTGTTTTAATTATTAAACCGTTGCCATGACGACGCCCGTTGACGCGGCACCACCGCAGCCTACTGCGCGTAACCTCGAACACTGAGTGCGAACCAAATTATTAACGACGTGTACACTTCAATCAAAAAAAAAACGACAAAAAAAACACTTGTTTATTGGAGCAACAAGTACGAAATTTAACAAAAATACACGGTACAGAAATAAAAGTGTTTGTAAACATAAAACGGCCAATTGTAAAAAAAAAATGCGAAAATAATACGAAATGGGGAATTATGTGGCCGCCGCCTCCATGTCGCAGGGCTGCTGCTCCGGCTCCTCGTCGTTGTAAATGTTCTCCGCCATTTGCCACACCTGCATTATGTTATCCTCCGACACCGAGCATATCACCCACGGTTCGTTCGGGTTCCAACTGAAATCTGCGACCACAACGACGTAACAATTTTAATTTCGTTTTTTTTTTTGACAATCAAAAACAACCACACCGATGACACCAAAGCTCACGCGTGACGTCACATCATTTTTAAAACTTTGCAGGCGGCACACTTGCTTGGTGTAATAATAAAAGTATTGGACTTTAAACGACAAGAAACGTCAAATAAAATGATTAATTTAACAACATCGAGTTCAATTTGAACATTGTTAACGTCTTTTTTTGGAATTTTTCAGTTACCCATCGCTGCGACGTCAAGCTTATGGGGCGTGTATCATCGGTGGTAGTTAACTAAAATCGTTTTTTGAACAAATGAACAAAAACTGTGCAGAATAAAAATTACCTTTCATTTTGGTTAGTCTTCCTTATATACTGGTCATTTTCGCTTTTTTAATTCTTCAGCTGACACACAAAAACTAGTTGCTAGTTACGTCTAGAAAGCATTTAGTCTCACATATAAATTAATACATCTTATAATCAATAAAATGTTATTAATAATTTTAATAGGAAATTCAACGCTCTACAAAAATCGAACCATTTCAAAGATATTCGAGATCCAAAAAATAACTTAAATAACTTAATAACTTTTGTTATTTGCAGAAAATTGATTACCGTGAAATGTTCTCAATTATTCTTATCGGAAATTTAATGCTAAACGAAAAAGGTCTCCCGTGGTTTACAGATTACTCGACACATTTTGAAGATGTTTACATCGGAATGGTAATGGGTAACTTATATTCATAGTTTCTAATAAATATTTTCAATTTATTCATTAAATTGACGAGTTTTCGCAATATTCGTAAAAATTGGAGTTAGTTTGATAAAATTTTATGGATGGATTTATTAATATTAAATGGATAATAAATAAAACGACGAACAATAAGCACCCATTGGAATTCCAACGCAAATATCTTCAAAATGGTTGGAGAGAGACCTTTTCTGTCGAACATTCAATTTCCTATAAGAACAATTGAAATCATTTCAATAACAAAATCCGGAACAAAAAGTTATTTTTCTATAAATTCTTCAATTTTTGGCATCGAATATCTTTGGAATGGTTCGATTTATCAAAAAAGAACAAGAGCGTATTTTTGTAGAGCGTTCATCAATTTCTTATAAAAATTATCAATAAAATTCGCTTAACGATTTATTGGTGCTAAGATATGAATATTTAAATATGAGGCCAAACCAAAAATGCAAAACTATAATGATGATAATCTTCCCAGTAATATTAAGAGCTCATACGTGGTAGGTGCTTTCTACAGGTAACTAGCGACCAGTTTTTATGTGGCAGATCCAAAAAAAAAACGTCATTTTTTACCTTACGTTCAATTTATCTTGTTAACATTATAAAGCTGAACAAAAAAACGAACTGTTGGGTTAGTAGCCAAGTTTTCTTTTTCCAAGTGACGTATTATAAAACAAAACCCTACCAATTTCAAAAATCATGTAAGCCTACATAGAATGTGTTTAATAGGTTATTCCGATTACAATGCACATGATTACAATTACACTTTACATTTTAGTCCACTCGGTTTTGACAAATCGGCAAACACAGAAATTTTTTATATAATTGACGAATAAAAATATGTTTACGGTTGACATATTAGTAAACAACGCTGATGGTTGAACTATTGTACAAGTCATTATCGTTAATACGGTATTTCGCGAATTTAGAATCCGTGAAAGGAATTATATGCTTCGAGTACACTTTCTGAATAATAAAAGTGCAGAACGCCGAGCTCCTTCACAACACATATTTCCAAGGCTGGTAAAGAAATTTGCAGAAAACGGTAACCTATTAAATGCTAAAATGATATGCCGGAATCATAATGTTTTAAATGAAGAAAATAAGGCATTAGGGTTCTATGAAGCACATCCAGTTTCCTCTACTACTACAGTATATAAAGAGACGGGTATTTCTCGGGGATCAATCCACTCAGTTTTGGAAGAATATAAATATGATGCATTTAAATTTCGTAAAACTCATAAACTAGGTGCAGAATAATGTCAAAGGAGGATGCAGTTTTGATTGGATTTTTTTAAATAGAGAATGGGAATAACAATTTTTTGAAAAACGTTTTATGGACCGATGAAAGTTCGTTCACTACATGAAAGGGTTGTAATAGACAAAATACGGGATATTATTTATTATTATATTATACTAATTACCGATAACCTTGTCGTCCTAAGTGCTTTTCTCGTAATAAGCGATTATATTAATGTCTTTATCGGTATATATAAAAAAAGCACACCATTGTTTCAATCACTTCTAATTTGACTCTAGATGATAAAGTTGCTTTAATTTGGGAGATAGAACGGGGAGAAAAGGAAAGGGATGTGTGCAAAGAAAAAAATCATTGAGGCTGAAGCGGCAGGCAGTTCTAGTAAAAAACTAAGAGAGCCAATGGTTTCAACAGCAACGTCTTAAAAATGTACCACTCTCTGGACCTACCGTAAAGCTAAAAGCAGAAAAGTTTGCTGAACAGCTCGGCATTATCGATTTCAAGGCCTCGGAAGGATGGTCGGGGAAGTTCAAACAGATACATGATAATTACGGACAGATAAGTGGCGAAGCCCGCGATGTCAACAGAAACGATTGGCTGAAGAAGACGTGGCCAAAACTAGCAGAAAAGTATCCTGCTGACGACAATTTTAATGCTGACAAAATTGGCAGACTTGACAGAGGAAGCCATATTACAACAAACAAGAAAGGGCGAGGAAGAGCATCAAGAGGAAAACGAAGATGAAGAAGTTGATCTGGGACCACCACCAACCATTCAACAAGCCCTATATTCAGTTAAGCTGATAGATACATTTTTTATGTAGCGTAGAGAAGATGCTCCTCTCGAAGAAGTGGTGAAAATATAAGCCAAAGAACGAGACGCGTATTGGCATGCTAAAAAAATTCAAAAGAAAATGACCGATTATCTGAAACATTAAATGTAGTTCTTAAATATTTATACAAAATGTTCCTAAGCAGAGTTAAAATATGTATATAAAATAATTAAATATTACAGAACACATATTGCTTCGTATTGCTATTTTTCAAGTGCCTATAACTCTTTATAATGAAAAAATGAAGCAGTCCCTTCAATTTCGCTACACAGAGTTTCGACTGTATATAAAAATTTCCTATTCTTGCCGACTTGTCAAAAACGAGTAGACTAAAATACAATATACACGGTGTTCTTATTAAAAATATATATTACGTAGGCGGCTTATGTCAAAAAATTGATAGTGCTTTACAAAAAAAAAAAAACGCGACCACTTACACTACATTTTGTTTTTGTTTTGTTTACCTTGATACCTCTAAAAACAAACAAATAGTTGCATACAATTAAAATGTTTCTTTAACTTACTTTACGTTTTCACTTTTTCCGCGGAAAAAGTGTAGGCAAATATTTTGAATGGTGGGACGCTTAGAAGCACTTAGCGTAAATTTGATGTCACCGACATCTTTACTGCCTTTCCATCGGAAGTATGGGGCAAATTAGTTATTAAAAAAAAAAAAAGGTACTCACCGGATATTTTGGCAGTGTGGCCTCCGTGGATGAACAACAGTTCCGGGGGGCCGTCCTCGGCGTCCTCGGGACTCTGCTCCTCCCCGATCTTGCTCAGGTCCCACACGTGCAATCTGCGGTCTGTGCCGGACGAAGCGAGGATCGTCTCGTTGTGCGGCGACCACTGCACCTGAAAGATCTCGTCCTTGTGCGACTCGAAACTGTGCAGCTTCAGTTTGAGGTTGCGCAGGTCCCACAACGCTACAGTTTTGTCGGCGGACCCGGTCGCCAAGATAAACTCCGAATACGGATTGAAGCTGAGGCAATTGACCTCGGCGGTGTGGGCGTCGACCGTGTGCGACGGTTTGCTCGTGTTGTTGCACCTGGTGTCCCAGATCATCAGCTTTTGATCGTCCGCGACCGAACCGAACAGGCTCTCGTGAAGAAGGTGCCACGCGACGTCCTCCACCACAGCGGTGTGGCCTGTAGGAAAAAAAAGATCCAAAGCGACACCTTAGATAAAGTCTGTTCATAGATAGCACCACGTTCAATAAGAGTCGAATAAACATTGTTTATAACTTAGTCTCAGTAGAATAGTGTTTTCTACATTTGGGCGGGAGCATTTAATGACGTACACTAGACTCGCACATATTTTGCATAATTCGCACACGATTCAACACACGCTATATTACACACGAAATAAGAATGATTACTAATAAACCCAACCAAAGAATATTAAACACAGGTAGGTATAAAATTATTTTCTATTACGGACCACAATTTTAGCTGAATTTAAATTCCGAAATTTTAGGTAATAATCTTGTTGCATTGTAATGTTAATGACCACACTTTCTTATATCTATGAACAGACCATACCTTTTATATTTCGGGATTTGTAATAAAAAACTACAAGCTACCAACAAATATATAATAATAATAATAATAATAATAATAATAATAATAATAATAATAATAATAAATTGCCTTTATTGTATATCGTTATATACAAATATACAGTAGAGAAGAGGCGAAGTCTAGCAAAAGCTACTCCACTTAACCCATTTTATCCCAGTGGTAGAAATTTTATTATTATCACTACTAAAGAACATAAAATCGTAGAAATCGCCAATTTATGTGTAAAGGAAAGATCTTACATATGACTTCAAAAGTTAACAAAAGCGGTACATAAATTTGCATCACATTTTCAAGTATATCCAAAATAGTAAAAAAAAATATTTTGGATTTGGATTGCATTTTTGTTAAGTCTATAGCATGTAGATTTCATCCCAAAAAACATACATTGGAAATACTATATTGATATTTACGCGTGAATGGCACCACTGGTTTTATCTGTTAAACAAAACTTTGTTATTGCAAGTCTAAACAAGTCGGCGCATGTAGAATAAACAGCCCACAATTAGCGTGTTCTTTAGTATTAGTTTGTGCCTGGTGCAGTGAACGTTACAGTTCGTAAAATATGGCATTTTCAAGGTATTTGACTCAAAAGGAATTAGAGGCGGCTATGGAGGAGATCGTGATGGATGAGGACAATAACAATTAAAGTCGTAAGTATTATCTGTATTTACGTATTTTTATGTATTGTAGCATTCCATTCCTTGTAAATTTGTGCTAAAAATAACGTGAAAAAATATTTACAGAACATATTGGCGCGGTCTATATTCCACCCGACGTGGATACCTTGACTGACGAAGAAGATATGAACGATAACAAAAATCTACAAGAGTCTGGGTAACAGACTGATATGATTAGGACTTTCGAGTTACATACACCGATACAGCTGTCCTTCCAACAGTCCTGTAATTCATCAATTACTGAACCTGAATGATGAAACCCTCTGGTTCGTTTACGCGCCAGTATTTTTGTGTATGTTTCGAGTTTTTTTTTTTTTTGACACGTGTATTCTTAAGTGCAACAAAATAAATAACTTCAGAGCAAAAAAATATTTGGGATGATATGGATTAACCTCTTAAATGTTTAAATTGAAAACTAAATAGAAAGTTATAGTAATTGTAATATAAATATAAAGTTATTAAAAATAAAAATAAAAACAATAACATTGAAAATCAAATTATTCGAGAAGTTGGCAGTTTCAACCTGAAATATTTTTTTAAAGAATTTTATTGAATGTGATTTTACTGAATCGGGTATACTATTAAAAATTACAACAGCGTTATAAGTCAACGATCTGCGGAACAAAGATAAACGATATCGTGGCAGTGAGAGTCCGTAGCAGCTATTTTCAATTTTTTGCGATCTATATTTATTATAACTAACTATTTTTTAAGACCTTTTTTTTTTTATTGAGACCAACACAAAAAGCACACGTAAAAATAAAACGCAACTGTTTAAAAAAAAAATACACTTTGTGCTTCTGTCCTTTTTGTTGTATAATTTGAACAAAAATACTCAATTTCCACCTTTTTCCGTCGCCATGTTTTATTATTGATAATTATCTGAGAATTTTTGGCTCATTTTTTTCTGACCAATACTGCATTCCATTTACGTTTTTTATTATTTCATCTGAAAACATATTCTTTTTTAGATGGTTGTTACTAATGCCAGTGTTTTCATATAAATTATTAATTGTTTCTAAAGCCAGATTCTCTTATTCAGGATTCTTTTCTTCCTGATTTTTTTTTTTATTTTTGACAATGGTAATTCTCGAATATATATTGTAAATGTTTCCACTGCTTTACAGAGATTTCCAAAGGCTTATAATTCTGAGACCTTTCAAGTGACATTCCAGTGCCTAAAAAGAAAATAAAAACATTAAAACAATAATTAATAAATGACAAACCAAATACGCGCCCAATTTTCCCTTAAAAAATTAGTAAAGGGTTAATTGGGTTTTATTAAATTTATGGAATCATTTTTTTTTTCAAACACGTTCAAAATCCCATTCTTTCCTAAGTTAAAGAACGAAATACTTTTTTATAAAAGGTAAAACATAAAAATAAGCATCTAAAAACTATAAAGATGAACATAAATTCATATTTTGGCAAGAAAAAACAAAAAGGAAATTGAATTTTTAAACAATAAATGCCTTAATTGTTTTAAAAACGTTTTTGTGAATACCCTACGTTGTACCAGTTAAATGAAAATCAAATAAGTAATAATAAAACAAAATATTACTTACCTTCCTGTATTTAAACTATCCCTTGAATATCTGTCACCCAGATTTATTTGGATCCTGTTCTTCCAGCCATTTGAAAGTTTTCACGCGCATTTGGCAAACCACCACGAGATTTATTTTACCACAATTTATGCATATATTGTGCTATATTGTTTATAGCGAAAAAAATCATAAATATTCTTATGAAATGTAAAAAAAATCAATTAAAGTAAAAAAAATGTAAAAATTCGCGATGTTTTTAAATCAATGTTTTTGATTTTTGTAAAAAAAATTCGAAGTTTAACCAACACTGCTACCAACACAATTCATTATCCTTTAAAACTGCTTTTTTTTCCCGATCCCAATCAAAGTGACTTATTATGAATTATAATTTTAAAGATACACCCATTGATTTAAATAAGCAAAAACTACTCTAGCATACCTTGACGTGGCAAATCCCGCGTTTACCTGTGAATATCGTTTTGGCGTCGATGATCCTGTTCTCCTTGGGCGTCGCGTTTATGTCCCATAGACAGATAGTGTGGTCGTCACTCGCCGACAGCAGGTACCCGTTCAGGTTGGGGTTCCACGACAGCCCGTAGCCTTCTTTCTGATGGCCCCTCAGTCTCAGATCGGGATGACACTCGCCGTTCGGGTCCGGCTTGCTCGGGTGCTTTGTATAGTCGAAGACTGCAATGCAGTGTCATGAGTATCGCGCTAGGGGTTACTCAATTTACTTCAACTCATATAAAATGGTATACAGTGTAGCATGTAAATGGGCTTATTTAACCACCGACTTACCCAAAACGTCACTCGATGGGGTCTTTGTCGCGATGACGCACGGATTCTGAGGCATGTACCGAGCCCGGTTAACTTCGCCCTCGTGGTTAATCTTGATCTCGATCTCAATCTTACCGGACACAGAGCCGAAACCCCCAAATTCACCTTTCTCGTTGTCGTAATGCGAGGCGTCGAATTGGGCGTCTTCGTTGGGGAGCTGAACGCTGGCTATCAAAAGGTGGTTCTGCTCATCGGACGTGTGAGTTCCGAGGATCAAACGGTGTATCGAATGGTCTTTGCCGTCCGGCCTCGTCACGTCCGGCAACCACTGCGCGGTGAGCGAGGGCCACTCTAACGCGTGGGTCATCACGAGGTCGTACAGGAACGGCGTGTTTTTCTTCCATATTTTGTATTCTTCGTTTATCACGCGTTCCTCGACCGCATCGTCGAAGGTCTCTAAACAGCGGACGGTATAATCGCAGTGCGTGTGGAACTTACAGCTCGCAAATTACCTGCATCGCCTTTATCGGCCATTGTTTTGTCGCACTTGAATTTATCCAATCCGACGGACCCGACAACCTACGGAACCCTTTCTGATAATGGCAGCGGCCGACGACGCCGTCCCGCCAAATACAAGCCGCAGAACAATGACGTGAACGCAAAATGGTCGCGACATTTCGACCGTAGACCACAGAAAACGAGCGCCGCCGTTACGTCACCGCGCTGCTTTAACGCCCGAGCGGAAGGAAAATGAAAAAGTTTGCTAGTAAACAATAATTTAATGATTTATTTTTACACGTACGTTTACTACGGCGACGATACAACGAAGAAAGAAAAAGAGGCGAATGTAAACTGTCAGTCCGCGATTTAACGTGAGAAAAAAAAAAAATTGCGACCTAGTCCCTTGCAGCAAGCACAATAATTATTATCATCTACTCTGGATGGGGAGAGGCTTCTACAGAACCACGAAAGTGTACAATGCCCGAAAGTCAGTCGTCTTCGGGGGCGCCCTTGTGAACTTTGTTCACGTGCCTGATGAGATACGACTGCTTCGCGAAAGCCCTCTTGCACTCTGCGCACTCGAACCCGCCCTTGCTGTGCACGCGCATGTGCTGCAAGTACTGATTCTTGTTCGTAAACGACATTTCGCACTCGTTGCAAGCGATGCCCGATTCGGACACGTGGGTCCACTGGTGCGCCGTCAAGTAACTCTTGACCGTGAACCTTTTGAGACATATCTGACACGCGTACGGCCTCAGCCCCGAATGGCCCCTCTTGTGCGTGTTGAGACTCGACTTCTGCGTGAAACGTTTTTTGCACACGTCGCACTCGTAAGGGCGCTCGCCCGTGTGGACTCGCATGTGCACCTAAGAAAGCAACGTCCCCCACAAAACCTTACCACCCACGGCACCTTGGTAATACTTACTTCGAGATACGGCTTCCTGCAAAAGGCGGCGTCGCACATTGTGCAGCAGTAGGGCTTCGTTTCCGAATGCTGCTTCATGTGCACGTAATAACTAGATGGCGAGGACAGCGTTCTGTGGCATACCTTGCACACTTGCATTTTTGATTTTTTCTCTTCGGCGGTTTTAGGGGTTCGCGTCACGGACTCCGGCGGCTACAACAAGCAATGAATGTTGCGACTAGCGAGGGAGGAAGGACTCACAGGTTCGGGTTCGGCAGTTTCATCGTACGGGGGTTCGGTTCCGGTTTGGTATTGCTGGTAAGGCCTGTAATTGTCGTCCGTGTTAAGGTAGTAGTTTAAAGGTTCTAGTTTGACACCGTCGAATATGTTATGGCCAATGTGATGGAACATCGTTTTTATATAATAACACTGGAAAAAGAACAATCTATTTTTGGCTGGCGTGGGACATCATCTCGGGCGACACTCACGAATTTAGATCGCGGCTCCGGGAACTAAGTGGGCACGATCTCGTACTCCATATTAGACGCGAACCGGCCCGATGTTTTCAAATTCAATAGCCCTCCGAGTCCTCCAAACGTCACAACAAAATATGTTAACAAACATCCCTCAAAAGCAAGATAATCGGAACCGCCAATCAGTTATCTGCGGTTGAAGACCTTTCCACAGACCAAAGATATAAGATAGAAGAAGATACTGTTACGAATGCTATCTATTATTTGGGTCCAAGTACTAAAGAACTGCCATGGCGGTTTAAAGTAATGCGTCACACTGAAAATACTGCAGTAGCTTGTAACGAAAAACAGCACTTTATTTCTATTTTAATAAAAAAATATTTTACATATTTAAAACTTTAAATTGAATTGAACCGTACGTCCCGCGCGATTTCCGTTTTCATGCCTTTTTTAACATTGCCTTTGTATCTTATACTCTTTATTTATAATATACGCGTTACTGCTAACGCAAACGTGCAATGGACGATCGTCGCGACATCGCGCGTTTTAATTTGGCAGCTTTCGAAACTCAAAGGAACATGCGGCGGAAAATAAATTTTTACGCCGATTGCGAAGCGCATTTATTGCAACGTTTGAAATATGAAAGTTAAAGAGCCGTGGCGGCGCCGCGGTCCGGGCACTTTCCAATAAAAATCGTCAGGCGAGCTGCACCGCGCTCGCGAAAAAACGAAAACATCTGTCGCATGTCAATATTGTCAAAATCCCGAGAGATAAGAAGACAGCGGAATAAAATGTCAAGAGAGACGATAGCGATGTGTATCGTTCGGGTGGCGTTTTGTGTAAAATGGCCGGTATTTTAGAGGAAAAATTGCGCGAAGCGGCATGCCTAGGAGACGTTGAATCGGTGCGAGCGCTCCTGTCCAGAAATATCGACGTCAACGCGCGGAATCAAGTAAACGGCTGGTAAATACGGTCCGTATCATAACCTTACTTTGTTCCGATTTCAAGTTGTTAAAGGACCGCCCTCCACTGGGCCTGTAAACGGGGCAACGAACAAATAGTTAGGTTGTTATTGAACAATGGCGCGGACAGAACTGTAGAGAACGTACAGGGGCAAACTGCCGGCGACGTGTGCACTTATCGCAACATCAACGAGCTGCTCGGCTCGGCAGGTGCGGAACCCGCGTCCGCGGCTCTTAAATTCGTGCCGAATTATCTGAAAAATGCCCCGCTGAACGGCAAAGTCGACCTCGAAGCGATCGGTACCAAACACCCCGATCTACTTAGTATGCCAAACGCTGTTTTGCCTGTTATGCAAAATGAAGGTATGTGCCAGCGATTAACACCATAAACTATAATGCAAATTGGTATGAGTAATCGTCCTATTTTTTTAATAACAATAGAAACAGAACAGAACATATAAATATAACATTGTAATATCTAATAATATTAGTTTTCATATAAAGGCCTTGAGGTTATGACACATTTTCTTAGTAGTGTCCTTTAATACAGTTTGTGGTATTTTGCTGTAGCTGTAACACTGTCCATTATTAAGCATTAAGTAAATTAATTTTGTTTGGTCTAGTGTCTTAAGTTTTCATATTTTTAAATAAGGCAAGCTTATGTAGGGTTCTTGGCTATTACTTTAAGGGCTTTACTTTGTAGCCTTTCTAATCTATTTAGCAGGACTAGTATCCCAGGTGTGGCTCTACGAAGCTATTATATAGCAACTGTCTTGTTTTTTCACCAAGTCGATGAGAACATCTTTTTATTGCACCTAGTTTTCCAGAGATAGTTGTAGTCCTAGGTATTTATATTCACGCAATTTTCTGAATGCCTCTTAATTTTTTTTTATATTTAGGTTACGAGGTGCTTTCCCTGTTGGTTTAAATATCGTATAAACTGGAATTTTTAAGCCAACTTACTTTAATATTAAAAATTTTTTTGGTGGCATTTCACATTGTTCACATTTATATTATTAAAAAAGGTAAACCAAAACGGGAACCTATACATTAAAACAATTGCTTAAAATGATGAACGTAAAAGTTGTTAAATTGCAAATACGAACATAATTATTTTAATTTATAAACTGAAAAAAACTGTTTGAATACACAGTTTCAATCCTCTCCGAAGCTTTCAGAATCTTAATCGGCAAAAGTTCAAAAGCTGCTTCGGTGGCTCCTCAGATCTCTGTGATATTATTGTGGAGATTGAGATTTATTATTTCATCGCTTTTTCTATATTTCTTTGGACGAGGTTTCGAATGGGATACAAATTTAACCTTAAAGTAAAAAATTCCTTAAGTGTTTATTTTGTTGTTTAACTTAAGGAGACAGGTTAATAAAGAACACGTCTGGTCGTAGCGCAACCCGGTAACAAAGTACTTTTATTTTACATAGTTTCCTTAGATCATGTGATCCAAAAGTACAGCATAGTATAAAACTAAAATATAAAGCCATCACGGTATATGGGATTGATACAATAAGATCATGTGACATTAAGTGACATTCCGCTACTCATAATTTTAACCTATTTAAATACATGTCCATCGCATAGTTAATTATTTTTTTATTACATTTTTTTGTGAATGATTTAGGCGTGTGCGATTGCTTTGCATATTTTTTTCTTTTATCATGACCAAAAGTAGAAGTGTTCTGTAGTTTTTTTTTTTTGGTTTTCGGAGAGCTCCTGAAGTAGCTTTTGAAAGTTTACGAATGCAACCTCGTGTTATTCTGAAAGCTTTGGAGAGGATTGAAACTGCGTGTAGTTTTCAGCTTCATAAATTTAAAGCATTATGTTCAGATTTGAAAAAAATGCTAATTTGAAATAATTTTGAAGTTTCTTATCGTTTCAAATAATTGCTTTAATATCTAGGTTCTCGTTTTGATTATCTTTTTTAATAATGTATAATAAATTTTTAAGATATTGATGTATATCGTGGAGTTTTCGAATAACAATACCTTTATTACAGCTTCAAAAAATTTGGACCAACGTGGGCCAAAACGTCTTGCTTATCTTGTTATAAATACCGAGTGACACAAGAAAGTGGGAACACTATAAGTTTTAAACGGCTAAAGATAGCGATATGAAATTTGTAAAGTGGCGTTGGAAGGAGAGGACAGTTTAATTTAATTAAAATAAAAAAAAATTGTGTTGAGGCTGTGACCATCATAAATACTATTTATCAGGTCGCCTGATCATAAGAAAAATTGTAAATGAAAAAAAAATGTAATGAACTATTAATTTTTTAGGATAACTTAGTTTTTTCAAAAAGCACCCCAGTAGGAAAAAAAACTTTTTAAAACCGGCACTTTGTTTGCAACATTTTAACACCAAAATTTTCAAAATCCGTTAAAAAATAAGCTCACAGGAAGGAAAAAACCAGATAAGCAAATACATTTTTATAAAAACAAAACATTACTTAGTTCGCTTTGCTTCTATTCATCATTAATGATCAAGTCGGTAAGATTAGAAATGCAGAAGAAACCCTCGACAAGCTCATACAGCAGAAAGAAAAAAAAAATTTTTAAAAATAAAATAAAATTCAAAATGTACAAAATGTCAGAATTTTCAATCGTGCCAACTTGATGATGAATAGTAATATTTTGTTTTTATAAAACCTCCCTGCGAGCTTATTTTTTAACGGATTTTGAAAATTTTGGTGTCAAATTGTTGCAAAAAAGTACCGGTTTTAAAAGGCGCTATTCGAAAAAATTAGGTTATTCTAAAAAATTAATAGTTAATTACACTAAATGCTATTTGCCATTAGACAAGTAAAGTTTCATTTACAAATGTTCCCACGACCAGGTGACCCGGTAAATAGTGTTTACCCTCCTATACGCAATTTTCAAAAATTAAATAAAAATTTTAAAAAACAAAAAAAAAGAAAGAGAAAAACCGTCCCATCCTACGCAGAATGATCCTAACCAAAAATGCAAGAAAAAAAAATACGTTGCGCCATTTAAAATTAGAAATTTTCTGTCGTTTCCGCTCAAACCGGAAGTGCAACCATTGTCTACGTATTATCAAAAAATTGGACATTCGATCTATATTAACCCTTCCAAATTTGAAAACGCCATTTCAAAGACATAGAGTGTTCCCACTTTCTTGTGTCACCCGGTATATTAAACACCCTAGCATTTCTAAGAAATGAGTAGAAATAAAACCATCATTTGTATCTGTCTATTTGAAATCACATGCCGTTAGGTCAATATAAGTTTAAAGTCTGTTCATAGATATAAGAAAGTGACTAACTGATACGAATTAAGGAAAGACCCGGTTAAGCTGTAAGAATGAACTATGAAACTTAAAAAACCTAATAAAGTTCACGAACAATTTAAAACAATTACATACATAGGAGAACCTAACGAAAAAGTTTCAAAATATTTGTCAAAATGTTGTTTAAAAATAGCTTTCAGAACTAACAACACAATAGGAAAATATTTAAAAAACAATAAAATGAAATGTCCAAAATCCCAAAAATTTATATCGGACAAACAGGTAGATCCTTCAAGAAACGCATTAACAAACATAAAAGAGCGTTTAAAAACGGTTTCGCATAGAAATAAACTGACCACGCTACTGGATTCGACGTAAAAAATCCACATCGAATGCGGTTTCATGGGACACGAGGACGAACTGCCCGGGCGCTAATTGCGCTAATCGAAGCGTCGATTCGGACGAAAACGTTTCGTTTCAGATTTGGTGCTGAAGGTGAAAATTCACGCGTCCCCCGATCCCGACTTTATCGAAGTAGAGCTGCCCAGGTGGAAATTAACCTACGACTCCCTATTGAAGACGTGTTGTGAGGAGCTGGGCGTGGCAGAGTCGCTAGTGGAACGCGTCAGGAAGCTGCCTGATACGCGCCTGCGCACCGACAACGACGTCAAACGTCTGACGGACTACCAAGCGCTCGAGCTGGTACTCAGAGGAGGCGAATCGGGCAATCCGTACCAAAGCATTGGCACGTGCAAGGACCAAACCATCTTGTACTAGGATGCCGCTTTTCGGTAAAGAGAAAAAAACGCGCAAAAACGGCGGCGGCGGAGGCGGCGGGGGGGCGAAAGAGTGCGATCGCGCGATGCTCGAAGAAAAGTACCACCTGAAGGAGATGCTGGGCACGGGCGCCTTCTCCGAGGTGCGGCTCGCAGAGAGCAAAGAGAAACCGGGCCAGCTCTACGCCGTCAAGATAATCGATAAGAAGGCGCTCAAGGGCAAAGAAGACTCGCTGGAGAACGAGATCATGATCCTGCGCAAGCTCAAGCATCCCAACATCGTGCAGCTGCTCGAAACGTTCGAGGACAAGAACAAGGTCTATCTGATCATGGAACTGGTGACCGGCGGCGAACTGTTCGACCGGATCGTCGAGAAAGGTTCATATACGGAGAAAGACGCTGCCCACTTGATACGGCAGGTGCTCGAGGCGGTCGACTACATGCACCAGCAGGGCGTGGTCCATCGCGACCTCAAACCGGAGAACCTGCTCTACTACAGTCCGGATCGCGACAGCAAGATCATGATCAGCGACTTCGGCCTGTCCAAGATGGAGGACGGAGGTATAATGGCGACCGCTTGCGGCACCCCCGGCTACGTGGCGCCCGAGGTGCTCGCGCAGAAGCCCTACGGCAAGGCGATCGATGTGTGGAGCATCGGCGTCATCTCGTACATCCTGCTGTGCGGCTATCCGCCGTTTTACGACGAGAACGACGTCAACCTGTTCGCGCAAATACTCAAGGGCGAGTTCGAGTTCGACTCGCCCTACTGGGACGAGATCAGCGACTCGGCCAAGGACTTTATTCGGAACCTGATCTGCGTCAACGTCGACAAACGGTAACCCGTAATCATATACTGCTGAACTTCTTCGATAACTTTTTCCTGATTTGCCAATAAAATTTACCGCACTTATTGCTAACCTTGTAATTTTTTTTAAAAGCTTAAAATTAAGTAACAAAAAAACTTTAAATTCTCACCGTAAATTGTTAATCTTATTTTTTTTTCCAAAGAAACTTCCACAGGCTACTGTAATACTTTTTACAAAACTTCTGGATTCCTCCTGCGTCGGTTTTTGCTGAGTCGAAATTGCTGACGTTTCGCCAATCATCCTGTTGGCTTCTTCAGAGCTTGACTGAAACTGACTCGCATTTTACACTGTAGTTGCTTATATATTGTTTGAGGGGGGAAGCGGAGCTAAATGAGGGGCATACACATCGTCTCGGACGACTGATTCTCATATTGGTGACAGGTAGAGAACTGAGTCGCGGTTAAGATCGTTAGGTTGTATATAGATTTCTAGATCTGAGTCGCGATTAAGATCGATGGGATTTCTATACCTTCCTAGACCTGAGTCGCGGTTAAAATCGGTAGGTAGTTAGGTTGTTTATAGATTTCTGTGCCTTCTAGACCTGAGTCGCGATTAAGATCGGTAGGTTCTTTATAGATTTCTATGCCCTCTAGACTTGAGTCGCGGTTAAAATTGTTAGGTTGTTTATAGATTTCTATACCTTCTAGACCTGAGTCGCGGTTAAAACCGTTAGGTTGTTTATAGATTTCTAGACCTGAGTCGCGGTTAAGATAGTTAGGTTGTTTATAGATTTCTATGCCTTCTAGACCTGAGTCGCGGTTAAGATCGGTAAGTTCTTTATAGATTTCTATGCCCTCTAGACCTGAGTCGCGGTTAAAATCGTTAGGTTGTTTATAGATTTCTAGACCTGAGTCGCGGTTAAGATAGTTAGGTTGTTTATAGATTTCTATGCCTTCTAGACCTGAGTCGCGATTAAGATCGGTAGGTTCTTTATAGATTTCTATGCCCTCTAGACTTGAGTCGCGGTTAAAATTGTTAGGTTGTTTATAAATTTCTGTGCCTTCTAGACCTGAGTCGCGATTAAGATCGATAGGTTCTTTATAGATTTCTATGCCCTCTAGACTTGTGTCGCGGTTAAAATTGTTAGGTTGTTTATAGATTTCTATACCTTCTAGACCTGAGTCGCGGTTAAAATCGTTAGGTTGTTTATAGATTTCTAGACCTGAGTCGCGGTTAAGATAGTTAGGTTGTTTATAGATTTCTATGCCTTCTAGACCTGAGTCGCGGTTAAGATCGGTAGGTTCTTTATAGATTTCTATGCCCTCTAGACTTGAGTCGCGGTTAAAATTGTTAGGTTGTTTATAGATTTCTATACCTTCTAGACCTGAGTCGCGGTTAAAATCGTTAGGTTGTTTATAGATTTCTAGACCTGAGTCGCGGTTAAGATAGTTAGGTTGTTTATAGATTTCTATGCCTTCTAGACCTGAGTCGCGATTAAGATCGGTAAGTTCTTTATAGATTTCTATGCCCTCTAGACTTGAGTCGCGGTTAAAATTGTTAGGTTGTTTATAGATTTCTGTGCCTTCTAGACCTGAGTCGCGATTAAGATCGATAGGTTCTTTATAGATTTCTATGCCCTCTAGACTTGAGTCGCGGTTAAAATTGTTATGTTGTTTATAGATTTCTATACCTTCTAGACCTGAGCCGCGGTTAAAATCGTTAGGTTGTTTATCGATTTCTATACTTTCTAGACCTGAGCCGCGATTAAGATCGTTAGGTTGTTTATAGATTTCTATGCCTTCTAGATCTGAGTCGCGGTTAAGATCGGTAGGTTCTTTATAGATTTCTATGCCCTCTCGACTTGAGTCGCGGTTAAAATTGTTATGTTGTTTATAGATTTCTATACCTTCTAGACCTGAGCCGCGGTTAAAATCGTTAGGTTGTTTATCGATTTCTATACTTTCTAGACCTGAGCCGCGATTAAGATCGTTAGGTTGCTTATAGATTTCAATACCCTCTAGACCCGAGTCGTGGTTAGGATCATTAGGTTGTTTATAGATTTCTATACCCTCGATACTTGAGTCGCGGTTAAGATTGTTAGGCTGTTTATAGACCTTCTAGATCTGAGTCGCAGTTAAGATCGTTAGGTTGTTTATAGATTTCTGTACCTATCAATCTTAACCGTGACTACCTGTCACCAATATGAGGATCAGTCGTCCGAGACGATGGTTATATCTTTCATTTAGCTCCGCCCACCTCAAACAATATATAAGCAGGTACGGAGTAAAATGCGAGCCAGTTTGAGTTGAGTTGAGTATCTTTTTTATGGCAAAAAAAACATGTTTGCTCAAAAAATTGAAGTCATCTCTAAAAAAAAAGTTTGAGGTTGCAATTTCCTATTAATATGCGAGGTGTTAAGGTCAGGGTTTTCTCTGTTAAGATTTTGTAAAACGATATTAAGTCTTTCTCTTATCACTTGCAAACTTTTAGGCCTATTATAATAATTTTTATTTTTTAAGTATACCCACAAAAAATGTTACTAGGATTCAAGGCTGTCAAGGCAGACTTGACCATTTTTAAACAATATGGCTATTGTCCAGAAATCAAAAACAGCTAAATTAAATGTCATTAAATTATATGTTGTTGAAATCAGGAAAAAAATTGATCTACGATTTAAGCTAATAGTATATAGGGTATTTAATTAAAAAAAAAAGACGTTGGCCAGTAGATAATAGAGCAAAACAATTTTTATTTTTTCAAAATTAACCCTCTAGGTGGGTGTCAAAATGTATTGAATAACAATCAAACAATACAAACAACAGTGGTCCCAATACCGAACCCTGCGGCACCCCGCATTATTCAGATACTTATCAAAACCGATTTTTTTGCACCATTCACTATGTTTTACAAACTTCTTGTAGGGTAAGTCAATCAAAGAATCGCCTCCCGAAGTTTGCTAACGTATTTCGACGACACCGTGTATAATTATAATATAATACGTTACAGGTACACCTGCAAGAGGGCGCTCGCGCATCCGTGGATCTCGGGCAACGAAGCGAGCAGCAAAAACATCCACGGCACCGTCTCCGAGCAGCTGAAAAAGAACTTCGCCAAGTCGCGGTGGCGGCAGGCGTACCACGCAACCGCAGTCATCAGGCAAATGCAGCGGATGGCGTTGAGCAGCGGGGGCGGAGGCGGAGGTGGCGGACAGAAGAGCCCGTCGCCGCAGCCGAACGCGTCGGGATCTTCGTCGGGACCGGGCAGCGCCGAACAGTCGAGAGGAAGCAGCGCGTCTTCTTCGGGACATCAGTGAGCGACGGCGACCGCCCTCACCCCCCTCCAATTTTGAGGGCCAACGCAAAAAAAAAAAAAAAAACGAAATATTCTCTCTCTTCTTTCTCTCTGTCCGGGACTGTGTGCGGCCGAGTTTCCGACCCCGCCCCCCCTTTTAGAATGGATTTATCTGTTTTTTTTTCTCTTTGCGAAACATACGTTTAATCGCCACCATTTCGGCAAATTTCTACAATCTGACTACGCAATTTTTAATTATCCTTAAAAAATGACAATAATTGTCAAGCGCGATCTTTCTAAAAATTTCGTAGCAGTTGCGACCTTGAAAAAAGTCGCCCATTCAGTCTGAATAACGGAACCTCACTAACCAAAGAATAATTATACCCAATACCCAAAGAATAATTATTTCGAAAGTCCATGTATCTTCAGACCGCGATACTTAAGGGTTTGGATATTAATTACCGGGGTTAATTAAATTAATAGTTCCTATTATTAATTGAATTAATGCGCAAGTCCGCTCTAGCTAATTTGAGATGCTGCAAATTGAAAAAACAATATCGAATTTATTCTACACGTGTTTAACTCATAACTGGCCGCAGAACCGCATTGCATTTGCATTTCGAACGTTTGAATACCGGCATTATCCGCCGCAATACAAAGCCAAGAGCCGCTAAAATTTATATCATGTATTATGTTTAAATTAATGCCATTGATTCTTTAAGGGTTAAACGAGATCAAAGTTATAAACAAAATAATAATATACGTTTATTCCTATAAAACAAACAATTCAAACAATTATTCGGTCAAAAAAGTACTTAATTTGAAAAGTACATTTCTAATCTTTTTTTTTATGTGGTAGTCCTTAAAACATTTTCCCAACACATAGAGGAATTTCACAATATCCGCACATAAAGCAAGTTCCTCTCCTTATGCCGTGAATTTTGCAAAATTTGCACCGTTTCTGTGGAAAAAAATTTTTCCCGAACTTTTAAGTTTTACAAGCCTGCTTGCTAGCAACTTCTAGTAAATAAGAGGTAAATATGCCGGGTTCGATTTCTTGTATATCACAAATGAATTAAATAATGCGCATTTCAACATAAACATAAAAGCCTTTTTCGTCCATTTGAGACTTTTTCTTATAATAAGATTATAACGACACGGTTTATATACCTATTGTAATGTATAATACTTACTGTTTTTTTCATAATTTCACCAGTTTTACATGAATTAAATTTTTTTTTTTTTCGGAAAACATGATGGCCTCTTTTTAACTTATTTTTTTTTTATATCTTGAGGTAACCCACGATTTTCTCTACTTGTACCACATATTCTTTTCTTCCTGGAAAGCAAATGCTCTGCTAATTCAACACTATTATAATAGTTACCCATGTAAAAGATTTTGCAACTTTTGTCCACTTCCGTTGTGGAATTTAAAGTTCGTTATGTCGGCACTTTGCGATTCGCATAACATTCTGACAAGCATACCATACTTAATTATCTTGCCTGGATTGTAGACTCGAAAACTTAAACGACCTCTGTGGGGTATCGTTGTCTCATCCAATGAAAGATTTTTGTTTGGGTTTATAAACTGTGCCAAATTTATTTGAAAGATATTCTGTTATTAGTTCAATTTTGAAGAGCCGATCTGCGTTTTCTGGCGTTTCATCATTATTACAAAAATGTAATGATTGCAATATTTGTCCAAACTTATTTCGAGGCATAACTTTGCCAAAAAATCGCGGTTCAATATGTAGATCAGTAGACCACACTAGTTTTTCTTACCTGCCCCGTTAAAATATTCAAACCAAGAAACTTCTTCATTTCGGCTATTGTTGTATCTGTCCATTGTTTAATCTTTTTCACGGATTTATATCTGTGAATATTTTGCATATGATACCTGTTTGTTTCCTTTACTAATAATTTAAAAAAATCATGGCCATTAAACAAATCCACTGTATCTTGTATATTTTCTGGATTTTTTTGGAAACACTTTAACACCATCATTTCCCAAAATTTTAGGACCAGTGTGTAGTTGTTTCATTGCTAATATTATTCCATTCAAAATCGTCTTATTCCATTATAAAGCAGGTTAAATAATAAATTAATCTATATTTAAAAACTGATAAAAAAAATACTCAAAATAAATCCGCTGTTGGCACAAAGTTATTCTGTACTAGTACGTCGGCGGCTACTGGATTTTAAATAAAAAATAACGTGTTATTACGTCAGCGGCTACTGAAGTTCGGACAAAAAATGACCTATTACTACGTCAGCGGCCAGTAATGAGTTAAAACACTTCGAAAAACATAATTTATGCAATTAAAAAGATTCCGATGTGGTAATAAATTCAGACCTTTAAAACTTTCATTTTCAGTCATGTCTTATTTCATTTGCAATAAGTTAAACCTTTCCGACGGTTTTTAATAATCTTAGGGAACGAAACCTTTCTGACTACGTTTTTAACACGCAATTTTTAATGATTCTTAAAAATTTCGTAGCAGTTGAAAAAAGTCCGATAATGGCCTATTCAGACTGAATAATTCGCCGCAAATTGAGGTTATGTTTGCTGCGAATGAACACATAGTTCAGGTGCGTGACGTACTCACTCAGTTGAGCCTTTAACTTGAAATTCCGTGTATCTTCAAACCAAGATATTTTTTGGGTTTGGATATTAATTACCGGCAAAAACTAAATTAATAGTTCTTATTATTAATTGAATAATATCCGTTTTCTTATCAAGAATGGAGTTGGGTCACTTGAAATTAACAACCGGGTTCGTTACAAAATTTGAAAGTGCCAAGTCTGCTCTACCTAATTTGAGACCCTGTAAATTGAAAAAAAAAATACCGAATTTATTTTACACTTCGGAAACATAATTTATGCGATAAAAACATTTTTAAACTACATTACGTTTTGTGGGTGTGAAATGGATTTGAAGAAATGAGATCTTTAAAATTTCCATTCTCATTCGTGTCTTATAGAAAATTTTATACGGTTCATTTCTTTACCATTTTAAAAATGCACCTTCTAATAATTTTGTTGAAACAAAATCTTGTCTCATTTCATTTACAAGTTATACTTTTCCGATGGTTTTAATAATCTTTGGTAAAAAACGAATGTTCTGATATTGAAACTTTGTGATCTATGATTTCCACATTATTTTCCAAAGTTTGAACAATTTTTAACCACATTATGTGTACCTTTTCTCGAGTACCTTTGGATGTAATAACACGTGTAAACAAAATATTGTAGATGTTACTGAAGACACTAGACATCAAGTTTATTTTATTATTTATTTTATTTATTTATTTATATATTTCCTCATCTTCATATATTTTCAATATTTTATTGTTTCCCTCGCAACGAAGCTAGTACAAATTAAACATTTTCGGATGTAGATATCTTCTATTATGATTGTGAGGTCTTGTTTAATGCGATTCAAATTTAGGAAAACTTTTAATATGGTTTTGAATCACGCCTACATTTGCATTGATTAAGTCTCGTTTTGAGCGCCATTCAGAATGTTTGAAAAGTATCCAAAAAAAAACGAAAACTTTTCCGTTTTCAGAATTCAACAAATACCCCAAACTCCAATTTCTTGACGAAGCTTCGTATAGCCTTTTATTTGCTTCTTCACCGTATTTTTTGCGCAAGCATTCTGACAAGGGTATATTTCCGGTTTTTCTGAATGTATGATTCATCAATTTTTTTTTTCATTTATATTTATTTCTTTTTCGATTTTTTTAAATAATCATCCGTTTTTGTTTTTTTTTTAACTGAGGAGGCTTTTACTTGATGAAAATCCATTTATCAAAATAAATAAGAACTAAAAGTTCAGATTCTCACGAAATTATATATTTTGACTTGACAATTTTTTCGACAACACCGTGTCTTTATCAAATGTCACATTGTCATGTCAAAATATATAATTTTGTGAAAATCTGAACTTTTAGTTCTTATTTATTCCGTTTTTTTTTTGTTTTTTAGTTTTTTTAATAGTTTTATTTCGGATGAACGGGATTGTATTGCAATTAAAATTACCCGCATCGCTGCTTTCCGACATTATCAATATTGAATATATACGGATCAATTATTAACGAACTCTAAAAACTTATCTGTCGTGGGAATATAAGCAAATGAAAGGCTCATTTTGCTTTTTTAAGTGTGATAGGTTTGTCGAAATCTTAATTCACTTGTTCCACTCATCTTATGCTTGAAACTGAGTGGGTCAGATGACGTCACTGCCACGTGCTCGCCCTAAACGGTCTTTACCCGTTCTCTATCTACCTACATTCCGTGTAAAAACTACTTTAAACCTAAGTTGACGTGCCGGGCGGGAAGCCGACGCAGTTCCCGTAAATGTTTGCGTCGTGAACATGCCGCCTAGGCAAGCTTTAACTAAATGTGTGCTAAAAAAAAAGGAGACGCAACCAACGTGATTTTCCAAATCAGCCGCCGCCGGCCTCTTTTCTTATTTTCTCCGCTTTTGTCTCAAGAAATGTCTAATTTCGACATTTTTCTACGTGCCTTATTACCTAATTTCTTTCTTACTGCGCACGCGCAAAGCGTCCACCGGTACCGACTAAACTTTTAACTTGGCTTTGGTTCGCAATCGTCAGGACAACTCTTATTTTTGAGTCCGTTGTTACCGCATTCGAACTACTCCCTAAAGTTCCTCAGACGTGAATTTCGTCTACTTCTTACAGATCTTTTTCCCTTGGATTTTTCCCTGCGTTCGATATTTTCCTCTCCTCGTGACATGTCCCATGTGCAGCAGTTTTCTTCTCTTGATTGCTGCTTAACTTCCACTTTTCCTGCCCATGAATTCCTCAATATTCCCTGGTATGGTCTGTTCATAGATATAAGAAAAGGACCAATTTATTTTGAACAGATTATCCAAGGGTGGTCATTAACATCCAATGCAACAAGATTATTATTTAATTCATTAATAATAATAATCAGGTTGCATTGTTAATGACCACCCTTGGATAATCCGTTCAAAAGTATTGGTCACGTATATCTATGAACAGATCATACATCCACATCTCAAATTCCTGTAGTCTCTTCATGTCGGCTGCCTTTAGTATTCAGATTTTCATTCTTTCACAAGGGTTAGTATGTACTTTGTTGTGCCCATGTTCAAAGTCCTGCTAAGCTTAAAAGTTTAAAAGGTAGAACGGAGAAAATTGATTTTAAGGTTAGATCCTCCAATTAACGAAATAGCAAACTATTGTGATTTATTGTCATTCCAGGACTTAACTTAAAATTTTATAGTACGAAGATTACCTTTTTTCTATAACTTAGCAAAAAGAGACTGGTATCAGGCTTTTAAGACAAGTAATTATTTATTTTCTATCGGTCGTTGGCGATGTGGTAACTTAATTAGACGTAGATACCACATTTAAGATAAGAAATCATTAATTTTCTAACGGTCGCTGACCAGGTGAAATTAAATAATTGAGACGTAGTAAGAATAAACTAAACGAAAAACGTATTTATTGAGTTATAATGAATACCTGTTACGTATTAATTATTAGGTTTTGTCAAAATCATAACTAAAAAAAAATTACATTAAAAATGAATATGTATATTATAACAATAATTTCAAAAGTGAAAAGTGAAAATACCACTTTTAAGCTTAGCAGTAGTAGAAGCAACGCTCCTAATCGAATTATGGGGCTGATAATTAATTTTCATTACTTTCCTGAGCTGGATCGGGTACTAACAGACAGCTACGATGCACTCTTTTTAAATGTTCATAAATTGTATTTTTTGCTCCCTGTAACGTTGTTGTTCTGTTCCTTATGATTAAAAGTTTACTCGGTCAACAATCGCTCGTACACAGAACTGTGTGCCTTTTCGTTAGCACGGCACACAACCCAAACGTTTCGGACTAATTTGGAAAATCATATCGACGTATATTTAAATTTAAACCGTGTTGATATATATCATATCATATTCACTTACAAGAGGGTGTTTTAATGTGTATTTAAGGCTGACACTTAACAACATACGAACTAGATGTACCGTACTTGTACTTAAGGCTTAAATGGACAATATGTTCCTCGTATTCACGACGGTCCGTCCGTCTGTAAAGAAAATTGTTTTACGTCGCAAATTATTTTCAATCTCTCGTCGTTGTACTTATCTACGCGGTGAAGAAAATCATACGAATTAGGGTTATGTATTTATTTATAGTATGCGCGGCAAACGATTTTCTCGCCGTCACGTTACTTTTTGTACGTTATACGGTGTGGCCGATTTTCGTTGTAAATGCCGTCCCGTAACAACTGGCTGAAAATGATTCATTTTGAGACCCATTCGTATTTTGTGCGTAGAATTCTTACATGAAGTTGGAACGCTACTTAATTATCTTAAATAGGACACCCCATTTATTTTTACTTATCCTTATTGGATTGGTTTTCAGAATTTCAAAAATATATTTCGAAATTATAAGATTAAAAAAAAAGTAATGAAAGAAAATAGTGTGACTGCTCGAAAGTTTCACCTACACTCTTCATGAGTGGCGTCCAGGGTACGAAAACTTAAAATCAATTTAGTTAACAGTGCATAAAGTCATAAAAGTTGGAAGTTTCATTTTCTTTTCTCATTATGGTATAGGTAGGGTTAAATAAACATGTTTTTACTCTTTTTTGTCAATCGAACATTATGCATATGGGAAACAAAAAATAAAATAATTTTTGGCATTTAATACAAACTTTGCATTCTGTCAGCATCTTTTTTCATTTTCTGAATAGTCCTCTAAAAAAAAATTATTTTATTAGATTTCTGGCCGTTTGTCCTAGACAGGCTTAAAGCAACGCATTTTGCATTGGTAGATGGAGACTAACCAACCCAGCCTGTCGACCACTCCCGTACCTTTATTGTAAGTTTCAAAAATTTTACAGCAGTATTTTTTATTTCAGTAGATTCCAGATTGGATCCTGCCGTAACAAGTTTCCATTGCAAAACTACCTTTTCAGTATACGAAAACGTAGACATTCCACGTTTTTCTTTGATCTTTGATCTGTAAACTCTAATAGTACTTGTGACGCAGCATCTTAAAGCAAAAAAAGAGCTCCGGTAACTTTATACAAATAAAATAATTGTCCATGAAGATTTTATATCCTTGAGTTGGAGGAATTCCAGTCAATGTTCAATACTAAAGCACCACCTAAATCAAATGAATCTGTTTGCTTTTGATAGTGATTTTTTTCCCCAATGTATATATCAAAACTGAGCCTATATCCACTATTAGTGAACATTATCCAGTTTTTGATGCTGAACGGATTTTCCCTTCGCAAAATGTTTACCATAATGCGGTATCATGCTCTAGTGGATACTTATATGTTCATCCAGACCACCGATTTTTTTAAAATTTTCATTTTGCTTTCCTATTAGAGACTACAGTTTAGATAATTTGTTATCGTTGTCGATTTCACTGTTGTCGTTCAAATGTAAATTCCTCAGAAATTATCTTCGCGATCGTCATCAGATACATCACTGTCCATGTCCGTATCAGCGCCATCTGTAGGTGGAACAATATTTATATATATATATATATATATATATATATATATATATATATATATATATATATATATATATATATATATATATATATATATATATATATATATATATATATATATATATATATATATATATATATATATATATATATATATATATATATATAATGTCGCTCTCAACGTAATTGTTCTCAAAAATAACGTAATTTTATACAGAATATACATGTTTTAGATATTTGTGGTAGAAATACTGCCGATATAAAATTGATCTAAAAACATAAATAAGAAAGATACGAGGGGCCCTCGAAATGTATCATTTTCAGTTTTTTCGGCATTTGCAACCGAAATTGGACACAAAAAAACGCCACTGATGCCAGTCGAACGACACGAAACGGCGGCAGAAAACGTACGACAGGTTTTGGGTTTGAAAATTCCGAACGTTGTGATTTTAGTGAATCTCTCGCTGTTATATCTAAATCTATATTTTTATTTTTTTACGCCGCAGGTTATTTAGTTGGGATACGACGTGTATTTAATTTAGAATAAAAATTATACGTGTCGCTTTGTAAATAACATGACGCGGTTCATGCGCTAAACTGTGTACAACTTCACTTGGAAAATTAGAATTTACCAATTAGACGGGAGTTTCATTATTTCGGCAACAAAACGCATTCCTTTTGGTAATAAAAAACGATCTTTATTGCGCAATCGCGAGTCTAACCTCACTTTTACGTTTCATTTAGCTTCACAGCTTCTTATTTCTACTTTTCGTTATAACTTTCGTCCCAGAGACCGACTCCTTCGTTTCCGATATTATTTCGTTCCTTTTTCCGTGTTTCCTCTTGATGATTACGCGACCCGAGGGCTTCACGACGACGCGCGTGTCCAGTTCGGTGCTCAGCTCGTCCCTATATGTCTTGTACGCTTTCGGTCTTGTCGGTCTAAGCTCGGGCACTTTTACGTCGTTCGGATTAACTGAAAACCAGAACAGTCCGACCGTAAATATCTGCTTTGATATTTGAATAATTTACAGTATTAAAACTTAAACGAACAATTTAATGAATTAAAAGTCACCAGTATAATTTATCGTTTTTTTCACACTAAGCGGAGAAGAGGTTATGAATCACATAATAATGGCGAATGTTAACATGTATATTATTCAGTTTCATAAGAAAACCGAGGAATACTTCTGCTAATGCAAAATGGTTATGAACTCAGAAACTATAAGCGATGGAGCCACAAGTTAAATACAAAAGTTAATTAATTTATTTTAATGTTATATATAAAGGGCGTTTCATTTTTCGTGGTCAACTCTCAACTTTCTTATTTTAAATGGAACACCTAGTATACTATTTAATTTTTGAATTATATACAAAATTCTAGACATATTTGTGCATAATATCCCTATACCTAAGTCTAACCTTTTTTAATTTTTTATGTGAAAAATTACGTTTGCCAGACTTCAAATATCTGCCAATTTCTTCATTCGAAAGTATTTATTGTTTCACTTGAGTAGTTTTGTTGTCGCCGAAGGACTGGAATAACGGATTTCATAAAAAAATTCGATACATATTAATACAGGGTACGCGAAAAATAAGATTATAAATGAATGAAAATGAAAAAAAACTTCTCATATTGAGCATTAAAAATTAAGGCAATTTTATATAGGCTTGTGTATCCCCAATATCTTTACTTTTTGAAATATTGGAATAATATAAAATGCGAACAAAACATATCTGAAATAGATAAGAGCAAATTCTGGAAATTATGTGCCTCTGAAAATATGCGACAAATTTTGGAAATTTTAATAAAGAAAATTCAATATATCTATAAACTATCACTTAAAAGTAGGCCTAAAAATCAAAAATATCTGCTCTAAAAAAAAAATCAATATGATTTGGTTAAAAAGGGAGCAATATCTACAGTACAAAAAAAAATTAATTCCCTGCTGAGGGATGCTAAAAAAAGGCACGAAGATAGACAATTGCAGAATGCTGACTTTAACAAAAATGTGGCGATATGTAAATAGTAAATTAGAATGGCAATGATCTTGAAATTTGTTAAATGATATCTAAACCGAGTGAAAGTGTGACTCACCCAATCGGACACCATCAAATATCAGGTGCACCATATAATGCGAATACACAAATACACATAAACACAACATACTAAATTTAAGACAAAACTAACCAATTTTATCCTTTAAAACTTAAGTCTTAGCCTACCAACTGTTGAGACTTTTTTAGACAACACAAAAGCTTTTGATACAGTAGATCACGTTATACAGGTGTATGTTTGATCTTGATAGCAAGTTATCTGAGAGAAAGATGCCAATTTGTAATGGTAAATAGTGCCAAAAGTCAGCAAGTTAAAACAAACGATGGAGTGCCTCAAGGCTCAATACTTGGACCAACATTGTTCATCTTATATACACAGACAAGTTTGTTTTTGTCTCTTTTGGAAACTATAGAGATTCTGTTCCACAGGATTTTCAAATTAAGATTAATGGTGTGAGGCTGAAAAGAGTTCCCAGTGGTAACTATTTAGGAATAACTCATGACTATAATATAAAAGTGGATGTTCACGTGGCTAAGACAGTAAAAGAAACCAAATACTTAATAGTGTAATTAAGTACTTGACATACTCAGGTTGGCATGTCTGACTTTGTGCGTCGGTCCAGTGCAATGTCGAATAAACCTTTCGCAGTCAAGTACAGTACCACAGCTGATACTTAGGTTAGGTTGTTGTGTTGGGACCATTATTCTTTTTGTAGTCTATGAGCAGTCCATTAATAAAAAGTCAAGAAAAAAGCAGGTCTAGTATAAGTGAAAGTTTCCTTGTGGTAAGTAAAAAGTACAAACAGATAAACAAGTTGTCTAATAAAGCCATATACTGAAACACAATGTACTCACCAAAAGAAACATATATGGGAATAGAAGGACACTTGTGGGCGAACACATACAAGCTGCGCACGTTGGCCATCCCGCCGGGAAATTTCGCGTCCAAAAACTCCACGACGCTCCACACGTTCTCCATGAGGTCGGCAACGCCCAGGTCGCTCTTGCCGAACTGAACCATGCAACTGTCACCTTTCATGTTGATATCGAAATAAGCCTTTCTCAGGGCGGCGTCGATGTGCTCGGCCAGTTTGCTCGCGTTCAGCTTGATCGCGACGGGCACTTTGCGTCTTTTGTAAAACACGCTGCCCCCCTTGTGCACCACTTTGCCGCTGATCCGGCCATCGACCAGGAAAGCGTCGTATAAGTCGGCTAGGCGCGATTTCAGCTCGAACGTTTCGTAATCTGTCCGGAACTCGTGGAACGTCATAATTTTCTTTATACCTGTGACGTTTTTACTCCGCAACAACGCCTCGTAATGTTCCTGATGGCGCTCGTGTTCCTTGTTGGGTATCCCCTTGACGTCGGGCACTATCAAACAAACTTCGCTGTCCTGCGCCAGCAGGGGATTTTTCAGCGGCACCCGGAACAGATGCTTGTCGTAACCCCGGGCGTTCGGTATCTTGAACATGTTTACTTGCAGGAAAATGGGAAAATCGTCGTCGAATAGTTTATTTCCCAATTCTTTGTTATTGGCGGCGATTTTTAAGATCCCCCGAATGGAGCTTTCGACATCGGCGACATTTATTTTATACCGTTGAAACTTTGAGGTAAGGGAGTCGGCCTCAGCGGCGCTCTCGACGTCGGCGACACGTTTGTTCTTCTTGCTTTTCTTCACCTCCACGCCGGCATCCAAGTCGACGTCGCGGGGCGCCAAAACCAACGGTCTTTTCACCTTTCGCTGTATGTCCTTCGTCGTTTTGATCGTCGTAAATTCTTCAACGTCGTTGTTATCGAAATTGGGAACTTCAAAGACGTCCGCTTTCCGTTTCTTGGTATTTCCCGAAGTTATTTTATTGCCCGCATTTTTCAATCGCTTCTTGACGACCACTTGTTTCGCCAGCGCCGGTTTGCTGCTCTTCAACTTGGCCATACCGATCGAAAATCAAAAACCCGCACAAAACAAACCCGTGTGTTATAAACACACGCTCTGGTAATCAAAATGAGGTTACTTCTTTTTTCTTTTCCAAAGGAGGTTACATAACATCAACCACCACAGTTCCCAACTAACCACTGAGGATTCTATGCATGATCATATGCAATTAGAAATAAACAAAACTTTTAGAGCCCATGGAAGATTTGTAATTGCATACCGAAATTAGTCCGGCGCGTCGAATACACTTTATATTCGTAGAGCCAAAAAATGCGTACAAGATCACAGACAACCGCTGGTAAGGGTTAATTTGCCGGGTACCAAATTGTTCTACAAGCCGAGGAATGAGCAGGAAAAAGTCCTCGTCAAAGAATGCCAAATCAATTTTGAAAGTGTGCTGAGACACGGACGGGTGGAACGCAGGTTCCGGGACGCCCAATTTATTTATTTTGTTGTAAGGGGGTTGACTTTCAGATGCGCCCGAGCCAGGGCTACGTGGCTAGAAGATCTCGGCCTCGCGCGGGTCGGCAAGCTGATCAAAAACCTGCTGAAATATTTCGGCCACCAAAACAAGGACGGAGTGTTTTTGTATCCGGAGGAAATGCTATTTTTATTAGAGACGGTGAGGACTTATCCCATCGCCATAGCTCGCGTTGTATTCACGCGTTTCGTTCCCAGAATCGCTTGGAGCTGCACCTAGACGACTTACCGATAACTATCGCCGAAGGGTACAGCATCGCGTTGAAGTACATAACCCTGACAAACTACAGAGTTTTCAAAAAGCTCGCCAGCCTGGGCTACAAGCTGGTGAGATTCGATCGATTTCAAACTACCCGAAACATGTCCGACCGTGCAGAACAGAAGCGGAAACCGCCCACCGACGACGAGCCCGTGCCGTCAAAGAAGCCTAAGGACGAAGAGGACGTCTCCAAAGAGCTGCGTCACATTTCGGGGATTTTCGAGAGTTTAAAATGCAAAATGCCGACCGACGCGGCTTCCACAAATGGCAACGCTTTTGATCAGGAACCCCATTATTGCGTTTTTTTGCCCTCCAACACTAACAAAAACGCACCCGACTTCCACTTATACCTCTGGTAAGTTTGACGGGGATGGCAAGAATGACGTTTCGCGATTTAAATTGCAGCGAAGACGGCGAGTTGATCGAACGACTCGCGCCGCACTCGGACGTGCCGGGCCTAGTGGCGACGTGCGTCGACGACGTCACGTTTTACAGGCTGGGTGTCGTTGAGTTGCCGTTTCTTTGATCGCCGAGAGGATTGCCAGGGAAATAAAATCTCGCAGAAATCTTTTACATGTTTTTTTTTAAAGATTAAGTACAAACTTTTCACAATACTTCGTTATTCGAATGTTAGGCCCCTCTAGTTTATCTGTTCTCCTAAGCTAATACTGGCGTTTTGCTGGGGTTTTAAGGTTTAATAAAAGCGTATCGTATTTTTGGTACCTAAGAAACGCGAAATGCAACAAACAACTGCAAATATTACAACGCAAAGTTAAACAACGGCATAATTAACAAAAAAACTTAATCCTACTTCGGTTATCAACAAAAAATAAAAGTTTAATAGTGTAAAACGCGTATATAAAAAATCTTTGGACTTTGTAAACAACAACTACACCCTAAATATTCATGTACTACTTACGTTTTTGAGCAAATGAACCCTATAATAGTCAAATTTTGCCGAGCAGGCAATTTTGACGGATATATTCACAGTTCACATAAATAAACGATAAATACATCATGACTCATTACTGGCAATATTCAAGCTCTACATATATCTAGTATGCCTTGGAAACGGTAACCAGAACTAACCAAAACTATTGGCTTTGTTCTCTGATCGATCACGATAAATGTCACTTATAAATAACCACCATATTCGCGAATTTATCCTCCGATGGTGGGGCTGCGAAACGTAAACAAACATGACTATCAACTATGATAACGTTTTTTCCGTCAGAGGTCTCATTAAATTGTTAAATAGCGCGATCTAAAATTCGTAAGTAAAAACGTTTCTAAAATAACGAAAAAAAGCCTATCTGTCAAAAATTTTTTCTGTTCTATAGATGACATTATTGTTACGGCAACAAAACAATTTGATCCAATATCATAAGAGCATGGAATCAGAGCGATTCGTTCCTTTTTTCGGATTTTTTATAAACGATATAGAAATTAAGTGGATACTTTAAATATAAAAAGCTCTTATGAGACTCGGATGAAAAAAAAATATGTGCCACAAATTGCGAAAAATATAAAAATAAAATGGCCGGCGCCAATTAAATAATAACGGAAATTTTAAGGAAGAAAAGGTAAATGAAGTTTTTACAGAGTTACTTGTTAAACCAAAAATCGGAGATAGATAGTGCATTTGTTAATATTTCTGATACATAACTAATAGGCTAGTGTGACAATTATTTTTCTTTTCTTTGTTATTGATGTTTTAATAAATATTAAGATTTAATTGTTTTATGGAACAAGAAATTATTTTTATTTTTATGAATAATTTCTATTTTTAACTTGTAAAGAATACTCGACATTTAAACGCACTTTATGTATATTATATGCTATTTGATTAAAAACCATTAAAATTGTGAGATATTACCAAAAGGAAGTTCCCATAAAAATAAAAATGCGTTGCCATTGGTTGTGACGTCAGACCGTTGTATTTCAATCTAGGCGTGCGTAAGCAGACATTGCAATAACACGTAAAATAATGAATCTCTTTCTTTTGTCATTTTCGGAGAAAGTTTTGTTTAATTTTGCTTCATTTGGTGGTTCTAATTTAATGGTGTCATTTATACGAAAATTTAACTTAAGACTTAATTAAATTTTAAAATTTTTTCCACTTCGTGATTAAATTAAATTTAACATTACAGTTATTATTAGCTGAATTATTTAAATATTTATAAATATATATAAATATTTATAAATATATTATTTTGTATACATTGACATTAAAATTTTTTTTAATAAGTAAAATTAAAAACAAGATATATTGTAGGCTTTACTGGTAAACAAGTTTACCCAAGCCTATTTATTTATATTTAGATATGCATTTTCACAAACGTGAATGTTTGTGCTCTTCGTAAAACAACCCCCTACATCTCTTTTAAGTACTTTTAGCCATTTTATTCATACAGAAAGGAAGACAAATACACAAATTGAGCATTAAACCCTTAAAAACCGAGACTAACGACGAAATCCTCGAAATATTCGTACTTTCCTGCGGTGTGACGTCACATCGGCTGCCCCGCATTTTGCTTTGTTTAATTATTTATTGCGAAACAGGTGTTGCGATTTAAAGATTCATATTTGGCATAATGTGTTTTCTTATATAAACACATATTTTGGTTAAAAAAAAAAGCAAGTTTCTTATGATTTTAGTAAAATGAAAACGAAACCATTAACGGAGACGCCATGACACCAGCTTACTATATGTATACCCTTATTTATTATTTGGTATCGCCCCGGCCACAGACCACCGAACAGGTCTCGTACGATGACGTCAAATTAAGACCACCCGAAATGTATACCTGTCATTTGATAGAAACGTTTATTAAACGGCTTGTAAAAATCCCGCAGTTTTTGCAGTGCCGCGGGATCGACGTACGGGTGGCTCCTACCCTTGGTCTTGCCTAAACAGTGGGGCGTGCTGTTACCCTCGCTTTTAAACAGACACGGGAAACCCTTGGTGGAGTTAAAGTAAAAATGCTTCTCCGTCACCACTTTTTTTAACCCCAAAAAATCCTGAACACGTTTAAGCTCGATGGCTGGGTCCAATATTAAACGTTCGCCGCTTATAAATAAAAACTGCGACAAGGGGAAATATTTGAGCCACCTGGTGAGGTACTTATGGTAGAGACCGAGCTTAACGGGACCGTAGGAGGTATCGATCGAGCCCCCGCCTCCTCTGGAAAACGCCAGGGTTTCGAAGGGTTTCATGTCGGGATGTTTCGAAATCGCCTGCGTGTAATCGGAAATCGCCCTACGGCAGGCCCGGAGGTTACACCCCGTCGCCAGCATTCGCCTCACTTACCTCGTAACCGGGTCGCGAACCACGACCAACAACTTAGTCGACGGATTCATCATTTGCACCCGTTTCGGGGCCTCTTTGGTAATGAAATACGAAGGGGATTTCTCGATCGTTAACTGGCCCTCCAGCGTGGGAGGCATGTGCCCCCGGTACCACTGGAAGCCCTTTTCGTAATTTTTATCGAAAAAGTGCACTTCGCTACCCGCCGCCCTTACGTCGGGGTGCAGCCGGATGAACTCCAAAAGAGCCCTCGTGCCGCCCTTCTTAACCCCTTGAATTAAAACTCATTGTTTATCTTTACAATCCCCAAAAAACCGACATACCGATTATCAAAGCGCTGGGTAGCTGCCTTTCGGGCCGAAGACCTTGTTCTTTAAAGAACTTGTATTTTGGGGATATGTCAGTCTCGTTTCCTTCAATTAAAGAGACGACACGCACCGACGTCGTGTAGTGCACCAACGGAAATTTGATATCCCTATTTGAACTTGTAGTCGGAATGCGCTGCCACTAGCACAACCCAAGGTTCCTCAAGAATTTTTACACATCAATCTGTACTCACCTTCGGTAGGGAACTTGATATGTTCGACATCAAACAGGTATTAAACCCTAAACTGATATAAAACGATATAGCGGCCAATAAAATTAAACCTATGGTAATTTTCTTCGATACGGAGAATTCCATAACAGTCTCTCGCGTTGACCATTGCCTTGACGCGTTACATCTAAAATTAAAGGAAAAAAAACGCGTTTATTTGTGTCCGCTAATTATATGCACAATTCCAAACTAGTTCAGGAATTAATTGCATAATTCATGACCGCATACTTACCGCTCTTCCTTTTTTTTGCACGAGAAGCAAAACTACGACGAGAACGGCGTTACGTCCGCGGATTCTTCGTCGCGCAACCAGCGCGTTTTTTTGAGATAAATTTTCGTAAAGGCGCGAAGTCCCGTGTAAATCGGATATCGAAATTGTTGTTGTTAGACGCCATAAGTAACAACCACCATAATTTGTAAACAAATTGTATTACGTCACGGCCAGAGAATACAGGCAAGGACAAGGCCAATGCGTACGGCTTCGCCGCCGTGCGATCATCCGTGACGCTTAGGTTGACAACCGATTAGGAGTCTGTGGGCCGCGCATAACCTCGCACACCTAAACCACTAATCATCATCGATTTTGTGTTTCATCTTTGGTGCGACAAAAACTTTATCGTAGCGGCGCGTACAAGAAAATACGTTAAACCGAGATGAATATCACTTCGGCGGCGGGTGTAATTTCCCTGTTGGAGGAACCGAGGCCGGAACTAAAAATTTTCGCTTTGAAAAAATTGGACAACATAGTGGACGAATTTTGGCCCGAGATTTCCGAGGCCATCGAGAAAATCGAGATCCTACACGAAGACAAGCAGTTCCAGCAACACCAGCTCGCCGCTTTGGTAGCGAGTAAGGTTTATTATCATTTGGGCGCTTTCGAGGACTCTTTAACGTACGCGCTGGGCGCTGGGGAACTATTTGATGTTAACGCTCGTACCGAGTACGTCGAGACTACTTTATCAAAGTGCATCGACTATTATACGCAACAGAGGATAGCTCTCGCAGACGAGGTAACTGACGCTAAACCAATAGACCCTCGACTCGAGGCGATCGTCAACCGGATGTTCCAAAGATGTCTCGACGACGGGCAGTACCGCCAGGCCTTAGGTTTGGCATTGGAAACGCGCAGGATGGATGTGTTCGAATCCTCAATCACCCAGTCCGAAGATGTCATCAATATGCTCAGCTATGCTTTCCAAGTGGCGATGAGTTTGATTCAGAACCGCGGTTTCCGCAACACCGTTCTACGCTCGTTGGTCGGCCTTTACAGGGGCCTCGGCACCCCCGATTATGTCAACATGTGCCAGTGTTTGATTTTCTTGGAAGACCCCCTGTCGGTTGCAGAAATTCTTGACAAATTGGTCCAAGGTAATGAAGAAAACCAACTGATGTCGTATCAAATCGCGTTCGATATGTACGAATCGGCGACGCAGCAGTTTTTGGAGAGGGTGACGTCAGCTTTGAGGTTAACTGCTCCCATTCCTCACCTACTTGAGGAGAAATCTAAACCCAATCAAACACCGAAGGAGGGCGAGGAGAACGTCAAAGAAACGCCTCAGCCCGAAGTGAAGGAAAAATCGCTGGACAATCTAAGTGACAGTGACAAAGAACACCAGGCGAGACTAGAGAAACTGATCACTATCTTATCGGGAGAGATAACGATCGAGTTACACCTGCAGTTTTTAATCAGATCCAACAACGCCGACCTTTTGATCCTCAAACAGACCAAGGAAACCATTCGAGTCAGCATATGCCATACGGCGACGGTTATAGCGAACGCGTTCATGCACAGTGGCACCACCAGTGACCAATTCCTCAGGGACAATCTGGAATGGCTTGCGAGGGCGACCAACTGGGCCAAATTGTCCGCCACGGCGTCTCTCGGAGTGATCCACAGGGGCCACGAGCAGGAAGCCCTGGTGCTCATGCAGAGTTATCTCCCGAAAGAGGTGGGTCCCAGTTCAGGCTACTCCGAAGGCGGAGGCCTCTACGCGTTGGGACTGATCCACGCCAACCACGGCGCCAAAATTATGGACTACCTGTTGGGTCAGTTGAAGGACGCGCAAAACGAAATGGTCAGGCACGGGGGGTGCCTGGGGCTCGGCCTCGCCGCTATGGGCACCCACCGACAGGACGTTTATGAACAATTAAAATTCAACTTGTACCAGGACGATGCCAACACGGGAGAAGCGGCCGGGATAGCGATGGGTATTGTTTAGTTTTTATTTTATTAAAAGTAGCAATTATCAAAGTGCCCAAACTCTTCATTTTTAACAACAGTTCAGCGTCCATGGACCTGCAGACTGCAGAACTCTTTTCCTAGTACTTCGGCTCAGTTTATGTCAATAATTTCCTTGACATGCCAGCCTCCACATAACTTGTATAAATTCATAATCTGAATTTCAGATACTGATTCAGGAAAAACTTCTTCAGCAGGGAATATTTGCTGCTGTAAGGGGGTCAAGTTTTCTGACTAATGTGGCTAACTACCACCCTATTAGGCCTCGATGCCATTCAAAAAGTATTCGAAAAATTGGTCACAAAGATTTTGACTTTGTGCTTAGGATCTGACATTATTTATGAGCAGTTGGGTTTCAACAAATGCTTATGTACCGAATTGAACTTTCTTACTTAGCTGGATGTGCTGGTGAACACCTTGGAGGGGGGGAAGAAATACACTCAATAAATACAGACGTTTGACAGGGTACACTTTGGCTCTGGATAGAAAGTTACGTCACTGGAATGTCCAGTGCATTTGAACAACTTCAAATCTTAGTCTCATTGAGGTTCTCACCTAGGCCCTCTTCTATTTAATATCTTTATCAATGGCATTAAATCATATTTTAAGCATAGTTTTTTCCTTTTTATACATACACAATGTGTTAATTTTTTTTATAATTATGCAAATTGAAAAGGAGTTAGAGATATTTTGAATTTTATTTTTACATTTTTTTATTCGATTTTAACGTTTCTAGTACTTTCTTTTAACTTTTCTTTAAGCACTTTTTTGTCGACATTGATTTTTAGTTCATTAGCTAATTCATTCAAATAATTTTCTGCATAAAACACATGACTTACTTTTATAATGGCCAATTGGTGTCGCTGTAAAATAATACTTTTATTACAAGTGATATTTGACACATATATATTGATACACCATAGAATTTACTACAAAGGCTTGTTTGATACTCTGTCTATAAGTATTTGTTTTTTCTTTAGTGTCTTAGTCACTTTAACATCCCATTTTATATTATAGTCATAAGTTATGCGTAGATATTTACTACTGGTAACTCATTTTGGACCCCTACAACTTGGCATCTATCTTAAGATCAAACATACACTTGTATAATGTGGTCAACTGTATCAAAAGCTTTTGTCACAAGTCACAAGAGTTGGTAGGCTGAGACTTAAGTTTTCATAGATAAATTTACTAAGTAAAGCTAAGCATCATCTGTGCATTCTTTTTTAAGGAAGCCAAATAATCTTAATATGTCCTGTTTATAAATCTTAGCAAGATTTGAAATTAATTGAATCGGACGATAGTTGTTCACCAAATTTCTTATAAACTGCCTTGAACTGTCTTGAATTAATATGTGAATGTGAGCCAATACTGGGGTTATGTCTCTCTATATTATTGTTGATTTTTGAGTGTGTTTTGTCATAACATTTTATAAATTGTTTGTTAGGCACCTTAAACCAAGCCAAGCCTAAGCAGATTCAACTCTAAAATGTATTTAATTATACTCAATATACTCTTTCCTCAAGATACGCAAGTTTTCAACTATCACATTCTGGCAAATCTCAATATCTTTACAGCTTTACAGTAGTCAAAATGAAGACCTTTATGAAAAAAACTTCCTCAATCTCTTATTACACCCACAAAATTAAACATGGTCCATTATTCGGAATCGGATGCACAAACATTCGGCACCATTATTGCAGGAATGGTAATGTTGGGTTCGAAGAATGCGTCGGCCATCGAGGACATGGTAGCTTACGCCCAAGAGAGCCAGCACGAGAAGATACTGCGCGGTCTGGCCGTCGGCATATCTTTCAACATGTACGGCCGTCTCGAGGAGGCGGAGCCGCTTATCCGTCAACTGAGTACCGACAAAGACCCCATCTTGCGCCGTTCCGGCATGTACACCATCGCGATGGCATACTGCGGCACGGGACACAACCAGGCCATCAGAAGGTTGCTCCACGTCGCTGTCTCTGACGTCAACGACGACGTCCGCAGGGCGGCGGTCACCGCCTTAGGGTTCCTCTTGTTCCGTACGCCCGAACAGTGCCCCAGTGTCGTCTCCCTCCTCGCGGAATCTTATAACCCTCACGTTCGTTACGGGGCCGCCATGGCCTTGGGTATAGCATGCGCGGGTACCGGTCTACGCGAAGCCATAGCGCTACTAGAGCCCATAGTGATGTTCGATCCCGTCAATTTCGTTAGGCAGGGGGCCCTGATCGCGTCCGCGATGATACTCATCCAGCAAACGGAGCAGACGTGCCCCAAGGTAACTTTCTTCAGGCAGACGTACGCCCAGGTTATCGCCAACAAACACGAGGACGTGATGGCCAAGTTCGGCGCCATATTGGCGCAGGGTATCATAGACGCGGGCGGTCGCAACGTTACGCTCTCCCTGCAGTCCCGTACCGGCCACACCAACATGCTCGCGGTGGTCGGTACCTTGGTGTTCACCCAGTACTGGTACTGGTTCCCGCTTGCCCATTGCTTGGCCCTCGCTTTTACCCCCACCTCTTTGATCGCGTTGAACGCGCAGCTCAAGATGCCCAAGCTCGAGATAAAATCAAACGCGAAGCCCAGCCTGTACGCTTACCCCGCCCCCATGGAGGAGAAGAAGAGGGAGGAACGCGAAAAGGTAAGGCTTTCATGTGGTATTAATGCACTCCTTCAATGTACTGCCGCAAAGTAGCCAAAACCAGTTTTTTTATTTAAAAAATCAACTATTATTACTTCTTTGCTCACACTTCACAATATTGGCCTGAATTAGTTTCTTCATGTAAATCACAATGTGAGAGAAACACTTTGGTGAAAAAGACTGACGCAAAAGTTATAATTTATGGCTGCTCTGCGCCTATTTTGAATTTACTGTGCAAAGACAAATACAAAACGTCAAAGGAAACACCCTGTATATATCAACATTTTTTAATTCTTTGTTAAAATAAATGTCACTTTCTTAAGAAATTACTATTCGAATTTTGCATAGTTTAGGCAGAAAATAATGTTTTTTTTTTTTTCATATTTTAATGGCCCCATAAAAAATTGTGTTGTGGCGCTACTGATCCAGGTATTGCCACGAAAATTTAACCACAGACTAAAGAGATGATGCAGTCCTCGATCAGTTTGACAGATGCGCCTCAGCTATACAGGTGGTGCCATTTTGGCGAATTCTATTAACAAAATCTCAAGATTTTCAAATGGAAATAGAGTAAGTTTGTAACTTATCTTATATTAAAATTTTACTTACTTTTTGAGATATTCGAAGTTTAAGATAACTCGTTGGCAATATCAGGTACTTTATTATACACTAACAAAAAACTTGACAACTATGAACTTTCTAATTAGGAATATTAAAAACAACAAAAACAAACAGAAATGTCAAAATATTGTGATGTCATAGCCAACTTCATTTTAAAATATTTTGATTTTGTTGTTTTGATGCCAGATAAAACGAGCATTTTAAGAGGAACATTTTAAACTAAACTTTATGGAGCGAATTAACGAACTCTTTTTAGTTAACCTTTTGTTTTAAAAACTAATTTATTCGAATTTGTTAACTTGTTTAGTTATTAAGTTATTATTACATGAAAAATGAAGTTATATTAAATCTGTAATAGTATAGAGTCGATTTTTTTCATTTTTTTTTGTATTGTTAGCAATAGGTTTTATTTGTATATCTGGAATATTATATCTTTAAAAGAAGTAGTATCAATACCTGGATCGGTGGCGTCACAACACATTTTTATATGGGGCAATCAAAATATTGAAAAAAACACATAATCTCAATTTTTTCCTAAATTATGCAAAATTTGAATAGCAATTTCTTAAGAAAGTGACCTTTATTTTAACCAAGGATTCCAAAAATGTCGAAATATTGTGGTGCTGTATGAACAAAATTATAATATTTTTAATCCTCAGGAGAGTCCAAGAAACTTTTGTACGGAGCTATTTGTCGTATATCATACGGGTTTCCAGATCGTATAGTGAATCGTTTTATTTGGCAGGCGGTGGACGTCACTCAGTGGGATATATTATTAAAAATGGTAAAGAAAACAAAAAACATATCGATTCGACCATTCACTACAAGGTGGTCTTAAACATACACCACATTTTAACACCAATATCTGTTTCTTTGGCATTTAAAAATGTGGTCATTATTATTATTTTTTATTTCTCTCTGACGGGGGTAAAAGAAACCGAACCGGAGATCCCAAATTTTTTTAAAAAAAATCATTTCGAATATACAAAAACACTAACAGTTTCGATTCAGGTGCAGACAGCGGTGCTCAGTATAGCGGCAAGGCTGCGCAGGCGTGATTACGAGCGCAAGCATCGCGACGAGAAAATGGAGGTCGACGACGACAAAGACGAGAAGAAAGAGAAAGCGGCGACGTCCGCGGATAAGAAGGAAGAAAAGGAGGAGAAAAAAAAGGAACCGGAACCGAACTTCGAGATATTGCAGAATCCCGCTAGGGTGATGAGGCAGCAGCTGAAAGTGATCGCCCTGAACGATAACAGTCAGTATGTGCCCTCGAAAGAAGTATCCATAGGCGGGATCATAATGGTGCGTAACTTGAAACCCGGGGAGGAGGAGTTGGTGGAGCCGGTGCAGGCGTTCGGGCCCAAGGGTGACGAGGAGAAGGAGCCCGAACCGCCAGAACCCTTCGAATGGTTGGAGGATTGATAAATTTGTGTAATTGTATTGAATCCCGCTTTGCATATTTAATAGATGTTTTTTTCTATCCCTCTGTATTTACTTCGTTTTTATATCACGCCTTTAATAAGAAGAAAAAAGAAAAGAAAAAGAAATACACATAATTGCTCTTCCAGAAGCCTGGATCTACCAAAATGAGATGCCATATTTTAATCTGCCAAATTATAATGCTGTGTACAGCGATGCAGAAGACTCCAGAGGTGAAGGGGTGTGTCTATTTCTTAAAAAAAAAAACTTAGAATATGAACAAACCGCTATTTATTTATTTAACACAGCAAAATGCTAATACAACAATGTGTGGGACGTCCCTGTCCCGCGGGTCCCAAAGAAATACTGGCTAGTTGACATATACCATAGGATTAATTCGTCAGGGCAGTGCTGGGGGTCGTTCAAGTGATTGTAGGGGTCGGACAGGATTACGAATAACTCTGTAAACAGCCACGTCTCCACGTGTTCAGTGATATTCAGAACAATTGAAATAAAGTTTTTTGTGGGTGCCGGGGGGCGGACCGCCTGCATGGATGGTTGAAAACAATATCTAACAACCATGGAGTGCAGCGCCTGTCGAAATAATATTATTTATAAAATTAAACCGGCAGGAAAAGCTGCAGAAAAGTGCCCAGGAAATCTTCAGAACTACGAAGTAGAACAAGTTAAGATAAGGCCCCCGCGGAAAACTGGCAAAAATCCTAGTGGAGGGGAATTCGCAGATTGCCATAGGCAAACTTTTCAGTCCTATTTAAATCAATGTAGAACAGAAGTTAAAATAAAAGGACGTAATAAATTGAATCATTGGATTATTAATGCCTTGATTAACCTATTAACACTCGAGACAAACTAAAAAAACAACTTCAGAAAAATTACAACATTTGTCTAATTCATTTTTGTCTAATGTTAAGAATAACTATTATAGGCATAAAATCGAAGAAAACAAGAATAATCTTAGGAAAATATGTCAACTAGTTTCAGATGCTTTTAATGAAGACAGCCAAAAATCAAATTATAATTTTCAAATTGTAAACCACAATAATGAGAGTTTTGATAAGGATATTAGCATGGCCAACTTCTGTAACCAGTACTTTGCAAGTGTAGGCGTAGAAATGAAGAAAAATATTGCATTTAATGACAGTTTGGAGTCTGACATTGCAGGGATTAGCGCAGTGAGTGACAATGACCTTGTGAAACATATTCACAGTTTCAAGTCCGCTGATGCCCCCGGCTATGACAGCATAATGTCCAAAGATATTAAAATTTTTCATAATCTTAAACAGCTACCATAATAGACCACATCTTAACAAAGAAAAATATGAACTATAATATTGGTCTTACAGATCACGCATTCTGACAGCAAAATCACATCAGAATATCATAAAAAACATTCAAAAATACATAATAAAAAAATTACAGGCAAATGCGTAGAAACTTTAAAAATTACACTACAAACTCAACAACATTTAGTAAATTAACAGAAATAATAACATCAAAAACTGAATGTACACAAATAAGATAAAAATACACAACAACTGGATAAAAACTAACTTTATAGAAAAACTTAGAGAGAGAACAACCTCTACAAAAGATGGAACTTGCTGATTAACATTCAAACTGAAAGAGACTTTAAAAAAACTAAAAAACGAAGTAAACGACTTACGGATAAAACTAAAACAGTATGAGGGAGAAAACTCAATGAAGCTGGGAAAACTCAAAAATAATGCGGGACGTTTTAAAGGAACTAAAAAACATAACAGGAGAGACTATTAAAGATGAACAGAAAATGGCAGGAGAGTTCAACACGCACTTCTCAGCAATTGCAAAAAAACTTGGCTTCAAAAATTAATCCTAATATAAATCAACGGTTTAGAGAAGAAGAATGTAAAAAACAGCTCACCTGGAGGGGGTAGTTTTGATGTCATTGTAGAAAAATTTGTTAACAATATCCTAGAAACTGACCCATTTCTTGATGAACTAAAGACAGCAAAAATAACACCAGTATGTAAAAAAGACTCACCAAAGGACCTTAGCAATTATAGGTCAATTTCTGTCCTAAATACATTTTTAAAAATAACTTAAAAAAGCATATTACAATTTATCGAAGAACAATAAGTTTGCCCATACCAATAGGGTTTCCAAAAAAACACCAGCACGTTAGGAGCCTCAGCAGACCTACTAGAGAACAAAATAAGTATGTTAACAATATTCATAGTTTTGCAAAAAACAGTTGACATTCATAAATTACAAAAAATGGGCATCAGGGGTGTTGCACGAAAACTTCTACAAACATACTCCAAGGACGGCAAACACTACACACAAATAAATAAATCAAAAAATAAAAAAGGAGGTTTGGACCTCTTCAGTATATCCTGTATACACAAAACCTTCGATACATACACGAAAACAAATTTTACAACCGCCACTTCACACAACACCACACGAACAAAACGAAATTAAAATTGTCCCAGAGTCTGCTTCGTCATAGTTCCGCAAAAGCGCTGCCAGCGCTTTACTTGCCACGCAAATAAATCAACTTTGCGAATTTAGTTGTAAATGTTTATATCATTCTTATACCATCTTTCGAACAAATCTTTTAATTCTTCATTTTTGAAACGTAAACTTTAATTTCTGCGATATATTTTTTTTTTGTTCTATGGTCCATGGAATTGTTTTCATTAGGAACGTTATTATGATATATCTGTGGTTATGTGTTTTTGTTGGCGGTTAAATAATTGATTCGGAAAAAGTTGGAACAAGCTGATTGCACCTAGCCGCGTCATTTTATCTCGTTAACGCCATCAAAATGATGAAAAGCGAGCAACACAAAAAAGTCATCATCAAGGTCGAGTCGGAAATTCATCAGGTAAATACTTTTTATAGGTTAGGGAGAAAAAACACTGGAATTTCGTTTCTATTTTTGCAGGAAAATGTTAAAAATACGCGGCGCACTCTAAAAACTTTACAACCGGCCGCACAGGACAAGGAAAATTTGGCGGGAAGGCCTCTCGCTGTGAAAGAGGCTAGGTTGACTTTGTATGTGTATTTCAATAGACTATTCAATAAGCTGTTGTTAATATATGTTTATCAGGGAAAACGACTCCAAAAAGAAGAACACGTCGCTAATGCACAAGAGTACCCAGACTGAGAAATATGTGACTAACGCAGAAGATTTGACTTCTGAAAATGCCAGCCCCGAATATTGGCGTCGTCTGGCGGAAAAGAGGCAGGAGGCCCTCGACGAAAGCTTCCTTGAGATCGAGAAGCTCAAGGGAGACATAGAAACTCTGCAAGAGGAGAATAAAATCTGCAAAGAAATGCTGCAAGAATCAAGAAATCTCGTAGAAGTGTTACAGGTAAATATTATCTGCTCGTTAAAGGGTTCCGAACAATTTTTATAATTTTTTTAGGAGATGATCGAAGAAGGTGACGCGGAAGAGGCGAAAGCGGGCGGCTCAAACACCAGTTAAAATCGGAATTTTTAATTTATTTTTGATTTAGAACATGAAAGTTCATATTGAATTTTGATATGTGTCACCAATTAAAATTTACTTTGACGCTACATTCTCAATTTGGTTAAGTTCAGGCTTATTTGACTGTTTCTTTTTTTTAAATAAAGGGCTTTTGACACATGTCTGCCTGAGTATATATTTTATCTGTTTTTCATTTATTCCTCTATTTATTTAATATTAATGTATTATTTTGGCTCCATTCAAATGATCTATCTCTGCCTGTGCTTCAACAGACGGGGTTGAAAAAAATCTGATAAATCTAAAACAAATATCTGAATTTTACGGTGGACTTAGAATGTGCCATTGCCATACCATCACCACACATTTTGATGCAATAAAGAATTTAAAAAATCCTAAGTTTACCATTCACGTACCTAACTCTTTTGCAAAATAAAATATCCTAGGAGTAAACGTAAACAAACAACGTTGCCAGTGTGATCCGCTCAAAAAGTACGCCAAACTCGAAAAGTACGAATTAAAAAGTAAAGGTACGCTTTTAAGAAGAAATAAATTTACGTAGTTATGTTACCAGAAATGTAAGACAAATATACTTTTGATCATTTAAGCGTTAAAATTATTAATAAGGAATTATTAATTAATAAAATAAGGTTAACTATTACAACCTCTTTGGACCCAGCGTCAGAGTCAGTCGCAGTTGTAGGAAAAAAAAGTATTTTTAAAAGTAAAAAATATCTACTGCTAAATCAATTAAAAAAAAACTTTTTGACAGTACGTTTAAAGTACTGTTGTATTAAAGGTACGTTTTTGGCACGGCGAAGATAAAAATTACGAAAATCCGTACCAAAAAGGATGTTTTGGCAACGCTAACAAACTTGCACAGGGTTGCCAGGCTGACAAAGGAGGTTTGTATTGCAGCAGTCTAAAATAATTCGGTCGATTTTACAGTACCACTACTATTCTGAACACTAAATTACAGAAACCAATTTTAAAGGACAAAACATTTGTAAATGCAACAACGGAATGTTGAAAGGGCAGAATTACAGATTACATTCACGATTAAAGTGGCGCTTATTTGAAATTGGTACACCTGGCAACCACCAACACGCATTCGCCGTTTGTTCACAGAACACCGATTTTGCAATGTGCGAACAATCTAGAACACCGTGGTCGCCAATTGACAGATCGTATTGCAGCGGTAAATTAAGTAGTAACCACGGTGAAAAATGTGCGCGGTTTTTATCGAAAATGTTCGATCTAACCGTTTTGCGAAGGTTTCAGCAAAACGGGCACTCGGCCAAAGATGACGGCCGCCAACGTCACGCGCCAGCGCTTTACGCGGGCAGCAACTACGTGACGTACCCGAATCTAAATGTGCAACAAGCAGGGTTAAAAAGGTCCAATTTGGACCTACCGGGCACATCTCGCGGGTCAAGGGGCACTTTTAATGTCGATGTTAAGAATCGCTCGATCGAATTTGCCGGTAGCAACAGGTCGTTAAATGAGAAATCGGCTACCGTTCAAAAGGTAAGGCGTGTGCGTAGCGTAGTATTCCTAGAAGGCTGGTATATTGCGCATGTGCGTATGTACCATCAAACAAACTTACGTGGGCTTCGTAATGGAACTTTTTTGGGTCAAATTTTCACAAATATCACTTAAATTTCAAACTGATAAAGACGCCCACGTATGTTAACCTATAGGAAAAAAAAAACAAAAATGGTCACGGCGCATGACTTTCAGCAGATAGTGGCGTTGCCAATAGTCGCTTAAATAAACTAACTGCACGTCTTAGTCGTTAGTACATCCGACTGTGAGGACATAGGATCTTATGTAGATATACCAGTGGATCTTACTTATTAGGTTATTTCCAACAGCCTATGAGGAATACTAGAACTAATGTCTAATAGTTCAATTGGTTGTACCACTACAAAAATTCTATCCCAGTATTTGGTACTCGCGTGCGATGGAATTAACTTATTGGGTATTATGGTTGGTGAAGTCATCACGGGAGTAGCAGGCGATATTTGAAATGAACGAGTTTTTTCCAGTTAATCTTTAATTTTGTGTTTAATGGTAAAAGTGAAGGACTGCCTATTGATACCATTAATGAAACACATTTTATACACATCTGATTTATTTCTCTTTTAGATATGAAAAAATTCTAAGTATATAATATAGCCAAAATATAGAACAACCTAAGCTAAAGTATCTTATAAATACAGTAAGATACTATATCTTGAACAAGACTCTAAAAGAATAACTAATATTTGACAGGTTTTCTGTCATTCTTTGATGAAAGTAGCTTTTTTCAGCCACGCAGCTATTGAATTCTCACATTCTTTTGATGTTTGTGATGTGTTTGCCTTCTTATCCGCATCTGAAAATGTTTTAGTTTCGAAAAAGGCAAGTTTTATATATCTGTACTTTATAAAAAAAATACATAAAAAAAGGGCGAGACTGGTATATTGTGTGTTTATAAAACAGATTTAAAAAATTCCCGCCTTTTAAGTAAAAGCTTGATTTGACGCTGAGAGTACTCTCATGAAAGCGATCTTACATGCTAATTTCCACGGTGATGTAGGTATACATTTATGTATTTCATTTCGTTAAATACAAACCTCATTAAACATTAAAAAAAATTTTAATGTGAAAATTGTGAAGGGTGATTTAATACATTGTTTTTGCGGGGCGTTTTTTGTATCCATTTTAAGAAAAAAATATACTAACTGTACTATATAAATAAAAATATAATTTTGTTCTGCGGGATTTTCTCTACCATTGCTTACTTAAATGAAAAATTAGTTTAGTTTTGAATGCCTAAATTTAACTACTCAAAAAACATGAGAAAGTGGATTTTATTTTTGTTTTCAAAAACTAAGCAATAAGATACGAAAAGAAGTCTAGAATCAAAAAAGGTATGTAATCTAAAACGTATATAGGTTAAAAAAAAAGTCAGTTTCTCTCTTTTAAAAAAGTATCAACTAAGCAATCACTATAATACACATTTTATTAAATTATATTTCTTATACTTTATTTATATTACCCTTACTTCCTATTTATTTTTAAAAAACATAATACCTACTTACCAAATTGTGGTGTATTTGGCAACACCGCGGGCCGACCAAAGAGTTAGTCTCAGCCGGTATGTCCAAGAGGCAACGACGTTTTCACGTGCGGTACCGTGGTCATATAAAGAACCTTTATTTTTGTGATATTAAAGTGGAAATAATTAACTATACTGTTTTCTTTCGAAAACCCAGTCCGCCGACATATCACAAATATTAATTTGGCCAATTTTAATTTTGAAAATATCTCCTTTTTCTTCATGCTCAACCAATTAAATTTCATTGCATAGTTATCATAAAGCTTTACTTAAATTCTTGCGAAGCCGGGCACTTCGCTCGGCACGTTGCCCATGCCGAAACCCAAGATGGCCGACACCGGCCGCGCCCAAAACAAGGACGACGAGGACCAAAGTCGGGCGTCCATCGACAAATCGCGCGCCAGGTTTCCAAAATTCGGGGTGAGACGACATCGACACGCGGACATTTGTTTTTCTCTTTCTATGCAATTTTAGACCCAGGAAACGGAGAAAACGTTTATTTTCACCGGGACGATCGAGCGCATCCTAAAGTGGGCGAAAATTTTCGAGAATCACTTTTGTTACTTCGAAGTGATCGGTAAGTGTGCCCGGAGCATTGTTTTGAACACAAAAAAAGATGCATAGTTGTTATCTGTGGACGGCGCGTTTTGAACGCGGCGTTGCCAAGTTTGTCCCAATCCCACGACTCAAATTAATTAATGCGATTAATTTCCTATCGCTGGGGGTTAATTTTAAGGGACTGGTTCGTGATTTAACGTTTTCAGCTCCCGTCATCGCGGTGAACCGGGGCAAAGTACAGTTCGAGCAGGTCATGTTGATGCGTGACAAAAAGGGTCCGGTGCTCCAGGTGGTTTACTACGGTAACGCCACCCACGTGAACATCGAAAACTTTCATTTTGAACAAGTTTTGAGGTAAACGCTCGTTGAAATAATATAATAATAATAAAAAAAAAAACTCTCCTAAAACTCCGCTAAAACTCTGTGACGTAATGTTTAAAGGGTTCTGGTGAACTGTAAATCCCCAATTTTTGATATAATTTTTTTTCCAAGAAAAATAATTATCAGGTAGACTTCAAGAGGCCTATTGAATACATGATTAACAAAAAATCAATTTATTTTTATTATTATTATATAAGGTGTTATCTGTGTTTGGAAAATAATGGACACGTTTGAACATTCTTCATACTTTATTTTGTAGTAACTTCTTTTTAGGTAATCATCAAATTTATTTTATCATATGGTCCGTGAAAAAAAAAAACACACACGATGTATTAAATAACAGACTAGTTCTTGAAGCCCTTCAAAACATCACAGATATGTTAATAAATGTTTCAAGTTCGACAGTTGCAAGGTTGCCATGTAATTATAATGTACCACAGGTTTAAGTTACTTTAGGTTATATATATGACAAGGTGTTATCTGTGTTTGGAAAATAATGGTCACGTGTGAATATTCTTCATACTTTTTAAGTTCTTTTTAAGTAATCATTTCACCATTTTTTTCTTGTATTTAACAATTTTTTTCTTCAAAATATAGAAATTTTCGATTACCACCAACCAAAACATTTTCTTTTCAAAAAATCGTCCACTGAACACACCGTACGTCGGCTCGGTGAGCATGAAACGCTCTCGGCTGAATTCGGGTTTAAATTTAGCGGCAAGCCGGCAACATGGCGATATAACTTCGAAAACCGTAGGTGTGTGGGTCGCATGGTAAGTCCGAACACGATGTCCGCCGTGACCATAAGGGGGGCGTTCCCGCAAGAGATCGAGACTTTGCCGAGACTGTGCTGCGTCTGCGACCGTGCCATTCAATATTTTTGCTCTTCCGCGTGAGCTCCCGCGGTATATTTTGTATGTACTTAGCCTGTAAATTTAGTTTCGCGTTATTTTTACGTGAACGCCGAGACTTTTATGGTCCCATTGTTAAACCGAAAGTAAAATTATAATAAAACCAATCCTACGTTTCGAGTGTTTATTGTGCCATAAAGCGATTCGTCCTTATAATCCCCTTCATCTCGCCTCCCGTGTCACCAAAATTGTATGATTAATGACGCCGATTTAAATCATTTCTAAAGTCTAAACAGGTATGGTCTGTTCATAGGTATAAGAAAGTGACCAATTGCTTTTGAATGATATTATTCAAGGATGGTCATTAACATACAATGGAACAAGATTATTACGTGAAGTTTCGGAATTTAAATTCAGGTAAAATTGTGGTCCGTAATAGAAAATAATTTTATACCTACCTGTGTTTAATATTCTTTGGATATCTTAATTAGGAGGCTTGAAAAAGATGGAACCGGTGTTAAATGTGGCAGAACTACCATATGGAAGTGTAATCAAAACATTTTAGATTTAAAAAAATTAACAAAAGGTAAGTTTTAATGGAATCTTTTAGAATTCGGAAAATTAGGATTTACAGAGAACAATAATGGCCAATTATTTACTTGGATGAAACCTCTTTCGACATTTATCGATGCCCCGGAAAAAGGTTGGGTTGACTCAACTGATAAGTGTAAAACAAACGCGCCATCAAAAAGAGGTAAAAGAAAGATGGTTGGATTTCAAATGGACTTTCACTGTCTGCGAAAAATATTAAAGATTCTGCTCTGGATTAACATGAAGACACCACCGCTGATTTATTTGAAAGTTGGTTTAAAAACAAACTAGTTTCAAACATTCCGCCTAATAGCGTCATTGTAATGGACAATGCAAGTTATTCCAGTAGACAGTTGATTAAAACCCTTTCCTCATGTGATACAAAATAAACAATCCAAAACTACATGTATAATAACGACATTTATTTTCTCGAAGATTATACCAAAAAGCAATTAATAGAGGGTCTACAAAGCAAGAACCTAGATATAAATAAATATTGTTTAGTATCTTTCCTAACAAAACCTCAAATAATTAAATTATAAGCAAAGTACGGACCTGTTCGGCCATATTTCATTCTTACAGCTTGCCCGGGTCTTTGCTTAATTCGTATCAGTTAGTCACTTTCTTATATCTATGAACAGACTTTATAATGACAATACAAAGTAGGGATAAAAGGAACTTACGTGGAGTTAAAGTAAATATTTTTTTAATGCGAAGCGTCTCAAGTATCAAGTTCAAAACAATATCCGATCGATAGGGATTAACTGAAGAGGATAAATGTCATCGTCCCTTTAATCAGTTGACGATCGATGCTGACTCGTATCTTGCAGACGCTGCTTCGCGCGAAGGTCTAATTTGTCATTTGTGACAGATCTATTTAGTCCTTCACGGGTCAACGGCAGACCTACGTTGTCTACGCGAAACCGAATCGCAACTTTTACGTAAAATATGACTTGACATTTGCAGAGATACCGAATGGTCAGTCCACTGAAATTTGAATCATTTAGGCGTCCTTAAGACCTTCGCGTTCACTGAAAGGATTCCCAGTAGCTGACACGGACCTAAAAAAAAAACTACGCTAGGCTTTGAACTAAAACCAGACACGCAGTATGCATATTAATTTTCAAATCGAGAACGAGGTTAATCATTCGCTTCGTATTAAAGGTTTTCTTATTGGTTTATTGGTTCATTGTCGGATGTTGCAGCATAGACGCGCATCTTAATCGATCATAACCTAAGAATTCTCGTTGTCACTAGAAATAAGAAGAAGAGAAACCAAAGAATTCTCCGTGTTCTACTTCTTTTATTTTCCGCAACGTGGGCCCGTGTGCTAAGGACATTCGCCCATCCAAGCAATTGGTATTTTTTAGAGCTGCGTTCAGAAACACATGGCATAGGCGAGTTCTCGACTGCCTTTCTTTGAGAACGTGTCTCGTACTTATCTGTCGACGTAGGACGCAGTTTATCAAAACAAACTCTTGCGATTTGCTGACCGACAATTATAACAAACGCGTTGCAAAACTGATATTGCGTCGCAAAAATGCTAGAGATTGCCTGGTTACCGTCCAGCGAGACGGATCGTTGGAAACAGACCCCAGATTGATAAACCAATATAACAGAAATGTATATAGAGTGAGTCCGTTAAATTCGTCGATCCGTGGTGCGAAAACCACAACTATGAAAAGTTTGCATGTGGTGTTGTATTAGAGTCGATATAAATGTCTTTATTTTAAGAGGGAAGAAATGTTTGTATTACAATATTAAAAATTAGCAGTTTTAGATTTTTCGACATAACTGTATTTCCGGTTTTCTTATATAAATGGGATCATTTTTTTATATATTAAGTTATGGTTGAAACATAATGAAAATCTGAAAGATTTTCACTTCTCAAACTTCGGTTTTAATTTTTTTATAAGTAGCGCTTATACTAACACAAAAAACGAGGACAAACGGACGTCTTTCTGAAAATCTGTGTAATTGTGTTATAAGATTTTCAATTACATTACTTGTAAATTGTTTCTGTCGCGATTTTCTCTTTCGTTTTTTATTTCACTTTTACTTTTTGAGTGACTTTTCTGAGTTTCTTTTTTTCAGAAAGGACACAGTTGCTAATTTACATGAAACATCAGATTTATTAGAAAATCCTCCTTTACGTTCACTTTCTATATAAAAAATCCATGCGTTTTTTCTTATGCGTTACCTATTAATGTTAATGTTAAACAAATCATGACCTACTTATAAAATAATTTAAACCTAACTTTACGAAGTACACTTGGGAGACGTCACTGAAATGGAAATATTGCGCTCTTAAAAAGTGTCTCAACAATGTCACATTTTGACAGCTGTCAATCCCTTTAAATAGAATCAACAAAATCAGCTGCAAAAAAAGTATTCTCTGTTCAATGTTATAATTATTATATATGTGGTGTGCCGTGATTAGAAAACTTATCATTATTTTTGCTATTTCGGTGGACCGGGCAAACAAAATTATTAGAAGAAATAATGACGAACGTTCTCTAATAACGGCACACGGCATACGTTGTTATTATAACATAGAACAGAGATTATTTTTGCTACAATTGATTTTGTTTTATCTTCCGTGCTCATCTTCTTTTTAACGGGATGCCTCGCAGTCAAACCGATGGTAAATCAAAGCCACTGAAATTCCTCTAAAACTTTCCGCATTTAACCCTTGCGGTGGCTCTAATGGGAACTTAAATCTCTGTATAGAGAAGCGAATCTGAGACAGAACATTCAAGTATTTTTATTTATCCAAAATATGGGATTATCACTGACCACGTACAGCCCTACTCCTATAAATCTAAAATACGACTCCAATAGGATGGTAATGTGCTTCGTTTATTGATAGGACCGGCAGATATTTTCCAAAAATTTTCCAAAAACGGCGCATCGGATAGTCGGATAATAGAATAGCCCCTGTATATTTTTAAAGGACCATGGTTTTCGCTCAAATCGCCAGCTCAAGTTCGCGATTCGTAAAATCACTTTCGTTTATTTAGAAGTACCGTTTCAAACGCGTATCAGTTGTACGCGAAACCGCGGCGAGTTTGGTACTCGGTGACGTCACCGCCAAGTTGATATACCTACGCGATCGGTTGACGTCGGGCTGTCGGTGGTGGAACTGGGGTGCGCTTCACTCGAGCTAGTTTCGCGTAAAACTCGCGAATCGAATTTTGACGCGATATCGACGTCGCCGTCGCATTCTACGCATCATGAAGCAGTAAGTCGGTCGCCGTGTCGAAAAAATACTGTAAAAATTGCAAAATCGCCCCAAAATCTCTAGATGGGAGAAAGAAATTTTATTAAGATTATTTCTGCAGTTGGTTTTAGTAATGTCTTTTGCACGAGTTAACAAAAAGCGACGTTTATATTGATATTTTGGCTTGCACACTTTGCACAGTTTATTAGTTGAGTCACAGTTAACGTGATTTAAGATAAGCGGTAAATTTTCCTTCTTCTTTCTATTATACTGATAGTGTTGAGGCTACTTTTGCGTTAAATATCTATGATATGAGATAGTGTATGTTTGCCGTGAAATTCCCGGAAAACTACATTATAGATTCTATTATTTCAATAGATTCTACATTTTACGCTTTTTGAAGCTGAAATCGAACACATTGAATCCGGTTTATCATTAGAACTTTGAGATTCATCATCATCAGTTATCTTCTTTTTTTTCTGTTTTACATCTTGGTGCGCAGCGAATATATTTTCTTTGTTCTATAACATCGTCCCTCACTTTTTTAAAAAAATTTATATAATTTTTGGGTATATGTTTCTTCTTTTAAGCGCCAAATTGTCTCATTAGCCTCATTTACAGCATCGCATAAAAAACAGATGTTGCCATCATTCTTCTGCCCTTAGTTTCTAAGGGTAAAGTCTGTTCATAGATATAAGAAAGTGACTAACTGATACGAATTAAGGAAAGACCCGGGCAAGGTGTAAGGATGAAACGTAAGGATGAAACATGACCGAACAGGTCCGTACTTTGCTTAGAATTTAATTATTTGGGGTTTTGTTACGAAATATATTAAACAATATTTATATATTTATGTATGTATTTATGTTTACATCTGAAATAAAATTACAAATTATTTTTATTACCTACTCAAATTCGCCGCTTAAATTAGTCGCTTAAGCGCGAGAGATTAACGTGTTTGCTAATCATAAATCATAAAAAAGGTTTCACTAAGTCGAAGTTTGAACAATAATTTTGTTTTAACGCTAAAATTTATTGCCGCCTTAAGACGACCAACCAAAACTAACCAAAGGAAATCAAAACGTGTTTTTTGACAGATCGCCATAGCAAATTACAATTTTTAATGAAACAACATAAGATAAACAATCAACTATTATTATTAAAAGAAAACACTGTTTAAAGTAAAAAGTCTTTTATTTTTCTTTTTTCTAAAACACATTAATAAGAACAGGCTTCTATTTTTCCTAATTGGTAACTAAAAACTAGATATGTTATTTTTCAAAAATGTAACTAACCAAAATACTATTTTTTTAAAAATACTCAGTGGCACGCTACTGATTTCCTTAAAAAAAGACATTTATGTGCAGATTTGATCTCTTAATTTTTATTTTAGTAAGGCTCACGGTTTTATTTAAAGAGAAATCAGTAGCGTACCGTCATGTCTGCCAAAATAGACAGGTGAAATTCCGTGCGCCCGCCACTGGTGTATTTTAAAAAAATTTGGTACACTAAATTCATTAAAATATCGAAAGTGGTATTGCGGTGTAAAGGCCCCCACAGACGTCGCTCTTTTTGAGCAATTTTACCCGCACGGGTCAAACAGCACGGCTAAACACGAACAAGGACTTCCCCCCACACATACGCGTTGTTTTGTATGTTTCGTTCAGTTTGTTTGAAATTGCGGGCAAAAATCATTGGTGATGGGTTTTACGACGACGTTAGCAGTGGCGGCCGCAGTTCCTGTTAAAATAAAATATTCTAAAAATCAAGGTTCCAAATGAGTTAAATGATGGTTACTCAAGCGAAGACAATTTTCACATGTTAATCTTTTGAATGAATTACGACTAGAACCGGGAGATTAGTTTAATTACCTGCGGATGTACGAAGACATGACAATTGTTTAGACAACACCGTGTCTTTATCAAATGTAATATTTACAAACTACCTGCTACTATATATACATAAAAATGACCATAAAACATGGCTTGTTATTTATAAAATTAGGTGCCTTTGTGATCGGTAAGTTTATTTTGGAATTTTCAACATTTAGTAGAACCTTTTGTAATACTTACCTCACTTCTACTTGCTTCGTCACCAATATTAGTAACTGTGCTCCTCGGTGTTTCTTGGTCTGTAAGGAATAATAGATATTCGTAGTACCACAAGGGTGGTTTATAGATGTCTTCAGTACTAGAACCAGATTTCTTAGATTGGTGAAGAGAAGAAGTGAATTCTCTTTTTCACGGAATCTCTCGTTGCCGGGTTATCTACTTCTTGTAACTTTTTTATCACATCTTCGTAAGCTTTTTTTTTTTTATCAGAATACTCCGTAGATTTAACCTTCCACAGGCACGGATAGCTTCTATACAGTTCTATGAATTCAATTATAAATTGCTTGTTGTAATTTCTTAAGTCAGTCATTGTAAAATCTACAGCAATATATTTTTATTCGACAATACAATTGTAAAATCACTACTCAAAACTAACACTAATTATTGCTGTGTAAAATAAGTGAGTCGACACTGATAAAAACTGTCCTTCTTAACTGTTTTCCCGCCACACACTGACAGACTTGAACGAACGCGTTTAAAAAGCACGGTTAAAGTCAAGCAGTGGCAGAGATTTTTGAACGCCAGCAAAAATGACAGATTTTGGCCACACACTGACCAGCTTATCAGCACCGTTTTAACCGTGCTGGTAAAATTGCTAAAATAGAAGAAGAAAAAGAAGAAATTAAGAGGGGAAGTCTAGCTAAAGCACTTATTTATTCGGAAACACCTGTCATCATATATTTCACTAAGATGCAGTTATGTTTCAACGGATTTACACAAAATATTTTATTTTTGAAACCTTTACCACTCTGTATCTCAAAAGTTAAGACGTTTGGGACATATGTTCATATTTTAAATTATCGACGTTCAATTAGAAAACACGCGGTTTAACGTAAAAAAAAAATGTTTGCTTAATGATGCTATTAAAACGATTATCTTCGCCTGGTTAATTCCAATAATTCGTGTGACGGCGATTAAAAAATTATCACGGAGGTCGCGCGGATAACGAGCATTCGAAAACCGCGGGCTTTTCGTTAATAACAACGGGAAATATTCGATGACGAATCAGAAGTCAGAAATGTCATCGGATTGATTGTCAGGGGCGCGTTTGCAACCAAAAAATACCACTGTCTCCAGATTGGTCGGGTTTTCCCCGAAAACTTCACGCTACTACGACGACGACACATAAATTAAATGGCGATTTGCTCACGTCCTTCACCGTGTTAAATTGCTGCATTTAAAGCGAAACTGTCGTATCTAAACGTTCTAAACCAATGTCGGCGTTCGGGACTCGATTTTTATAAAACCGTGTATATTTTAAAATTACTTTTCCCAAAAACGGAGTTTTTACTGTTTTGGACTTCCGGCTTTGGACGGCGAGGAGAAAATTCGAAAACTACATTTGCTACAGTCCGAGAAAACTATCGCTTCTCGAAAACAATTAAACAAAACACACACACACACACACATCAATTTTTTTACTTATAAGCTTACATCGTATTTTTTAAATGGAACACCCTGTATATTATATATGCGTTTAATAGAATATCTTATTCCGATTACAGTGATGCAACACACTTCATATTTTAGTACACTCGTTTTTGACAAATCGGCAAAAATAGGAAATTTTTATATGATTTCAAAGAGTACCCTGACTGATCACAACAACAATAATCATTTACGAATTAAAGTAGAACAAAAACGCTAAAAATGACAAGACACACTAAATTAAAAAAAGCTTTAACTATTCCAAATACTGCTTTGTGGGACCACAATTTTCTTGAACACATTTCTCATACATTCTATATGATGTCTTGCATTTAGTCAGATGTCTCTTAACTGATTAATTGCCTCCGTTATCGGAAGGAGTTCTGTGCACGTGATTTTTTATGTGTCCCCAAAAGAAAAATCCAATAAAGTGAAGTCGGGGCTGTTGGCTGGCCAATCCATAGTTCCGCCGTTCTCTATCCAACCCCTGGGATATTCTATGTTAAGAAAATTTTTAACTTGCACAACATTGTGAGGAGGGGCACCGTCTTGCTGCCATGTTTTCAGCGCTGGTATATTTAGGGGTTAACCTTCTATATCGTTCTATTTGATGCTCTAAAAGTTGCAAACACCACACCATACATTAATTGAGTGGTACCCCTGGTTTGTATTTCGTGTATTTGTCTAGAATTATTTAAAGACCAATATCACGTATTTTGTCTATTACAACCATCCTTGCAGTGAACGAACTTTCATCAGTGCATAAAATTATTTAAAATTTGAATTATATTTATATTCTTTCAAAACTGAGTGGATTGCTCCCCGAGAAATACCTGTCTCTTCATATGCTCTAGCAATAGATTGAACTGAGGTTGGTTTTACTTGATGAAAATCCATTTATCAGAATAAATAAGAACTAAAAGTTCAGATTTTCACGAAATTATACCATGTCTTTATCAAATGTAATATTTACAAACTACCTGCTACTATATATACATAAAAATGACCATAAAACATTAATTAATGTTGTGAGAATTTAAGTTCAGTATTTAAATCTAATTGACCGTGTCATTTTGTTAATCTTCATGGCTTCCAGTAAATTTAATTTTCTATTTTTTGTTGCTGTATGTAAAATATCAAAATTGTCGTCAAAAATGTGTAGAACTGTGTAGCACAATTAGAATCTAGAGTATTGTTTTTAAACGCTCTTTTGTGTTCGTTAATGCGTCTCTTGAAGGATACACCTGTTTGTCCAATATAAATTTTAGGACAAGATCCGCATTTCAACCTGTAGACATCTGATTTTTGAGATTTGGGACATTGTTTTCTAATAATTTTCCTATTGTGTTGTTAGTTCTGAAAGCTATTTTTAAACCACATTTTGACAAATGTTTTGAAACTTTTTCACCAGGTTCTCCTACGTATGTAATTATTTTTAATTGTTCGCGTTCTGTATTAGGTTTCGGATAAATAGAGTTTACT